GAACAGGCTACTGCACTCATTTACTGTGGAAAGACATTGTTTATCAAATTCGGTATGTAAGGTTATCCCATAGTAGTCAAAAACTAGGTGTAATATGTAAAACGGAATGAACTGAAACAAATATTGTTCGTATTGTTTTAAACATGCCTGTGTTGATTAAACATTTTGGGAATATATTATATTGTAAATTAAATTTGACGAACATAAAGTTTGCCGCCGTATTGATGCATCGCATCGAAGGTTTCTTGTTTTCATATACATGTACTGTACGTGTATGGTGCCTGGTTTTGTGTCTTCACAGTCATAGTGCAGATTCGCCCGTCATGCCGAAGTCCCGGGTTCGATTCCCCATACGGGTACAATGTGTGAAGACCATTTCTGGTGTCCCCCGCCGTGATATTGCTGAAATATTGTTAAAACGGTGTGAAACTATACTCACTCACATTGCAGAAGTATTGCTATTAACGGCGTAATACCATACACATGCACTTACTGAGTGATATTTTCAACATTTTCACAACCTCTGATATAGCATTGATGTGTAACTTCAACACACACAAATGGCATGAAATCACGTGGTTATTTTCACATATTATATGGTATTTGAGATTCTTGTATAATAGTTTAAGCAGCATACTGAGTTCATCCACACAGTTTTCATTTATAACCCGTTCATCATTTAATATCGCGTTATTGGTGGTCTCGAGATATTAGTGATGCTCCATTTACGGGTAACGACTGTACAGTATTGACATATTCGATACTTTTTAATATTATCAGAAAATGAGCTAACAAGTGTGCAACTTGCATTGACACTACATCTAAACTTCTTCCCGTACATTTCAACGAGACGTGGAAACAGAGACGCACTCAAGCTGAACTCAGCCGGGTATGGCGTCACATAAACGAGATGAGCTTTGGCAATGGAGGCCTGTACGTACCGACTCCCAGCTTCACGACGCGCATAGAGAGAGTCGGGAATCAGCTTAGAGAAAGAAACAAATCTCTAAACTGGTTCCAGTATCTGTATGCGCGTTGTCAACTTGAGATATTGTGATATGAAGAGACGGGGCTCAACTTATTAAGATCTCAAGCCCTCTCTTGTCCCTAAAAGTTAAAGACATTCTTCAACTTGTTTTCTGTTATGCAACGCATACTTTGACTATTGTAGTAACCGCATCTCTGGGTTTTGTGACCTGTAATTGTACATACATACATACATACATACATACATACATACATACATACATACATACATACATATATATATACCTACTGACAATGTCTGCGAAAGAAGTACTTTCCAATGAACATTAGCTTTCGCTTTGATACGGCTGTCAAGTCGTCTGTTTCAGTCACATGTGTTTATTGTGATTTGACCAATCCGAATCGATTAATTTCGACATTCATGATAGAATGAACATTATACATTTGTGGAATATTCGTACACGTGGTATCTTGTATGGAATTTTTTTATATTTTTTTATGTTATACAGAGAGAGTTTGTACATGTATGTATTGTTTTGACTGGTAATTCATTCAATTACTTTATTACCTATATAAACTATATTATCAAGATGGATCCAGGTAGATTACTCGAATGAAATCACGTCGCAGTGCAATGAGTAATTCCCTCAATGTGGACAAACGTTTTCTGCATTTAAAACTACCATCGTACATTGTCCTAAAAATAAAAAAGTTCAATTTATTATTATTATTGTTGTTGTTATTGTTATTTTTATTATTCCGCCGATTGTTGCGACAAAAACAACTTAATAATGAGTAGACCGACGCTGTTCAAATTGTTGATATACATGTATATGAAGACAGTTGAGCACCAGAAACCACAAAAAACCACGGTCATAGGCCCAATGGGCACATCATAGGCAGATCATTCAGTAACCATTCACTTTTAAAGACATGTTTTGCACTATTGTTCCGCAGCTTCTTGTCATGTCTGTTGTTTCCGGTGCTGGACATTTCATGTTATTTGATTCAAGATTTGACTTTGATTGGGGGACATGTCTTCCAAATCTTACCCCCCCCCCCCCCTGAACCTGCAGAATCAAATGCTTCCAAACTTCCTGAGAATTGTCTCCATACATAACATATGACTCAATAGAAGTTAAAGAACACCCGCTTTTTTCATGTGAGTATATATATAGTTAATCTGGCATGGTTGGGTAATTTAAGATCGCGAAATCTTCGCAATGGATCCAGGGATTACTTCAGGTTTTACCGGAATGCGAGCCCTGGAGATATAGAGGATGGGGCATGGGGATTAACTGTATTCGTTTGACAATTCAGTTTTTAAAAAATTATTTTGGGTAGTCAATTATTATTATTATTACTATTTATGTATTATTCATATCCGGTGTGCAAGTATGTTTGCCATTTTTTTTACACGATTCGACATTTTCATAATTAATTGCGGGAAAATGTTTATTAAAATATCACAATTCCTAAGCGAATTCTGATTGGCTAGCGCTGTTCCACTCAAAGCGTCATATGTAACCATTGAAAAAAACCGCGAGAACGCGAGATCACGACACTTGACCAATGTCGGGATCTCGCGTTCTCGCGTTTTCGTGTCAATTGTCTATACAGTTATATAAAAATATTTTGAAACACGTGCACGCGAGATCCCGACACTTGACCAAAGTCGCGATCTCGCGATCCCGCGATCTCGCATTCTCGTACTTTCGTCCAAATTGCCTATACAGTTATAAATAACTATGTTTGAAAACGCGAGATCGCGACACTTGACCAATGTCGCGATCTCACGATCTCGCAATCTCGTACTTTCGTCCAAATTGCCTATACAGTTATAAATAACTATGTTTGAAAACGCGAGATCGCGACACTTGACCAATGATCTCGCATTCTCGTGCTTTTGTGTCAATTGCCTATAGAATCATATGTAACTATTTTCAAAACGCGAGAACGCGAAATTGCGACACTTGACCAATGTCGCGATTTTGCGTTCTCGTGCTTTTGTGCCAATTACCTCTACAGTCATCTAGTGGCTCAGTCGTCTGAGGCGTCGCAATTCGCTGTGTAGAGTTGCGTTCCTTTATGGAATACTGTCAGGGACATTCTCGCGATCTCGCATTCTCGCGATCTCGACCTTTGGAAACGAGCTAAATATGCCCCAAACCGGAGAATACGAGATTGCGAGAACGCAAGATTTGGCCAAAATATCGCGTTCTCGCAATCTCGAGACATAACACACCTGCCAGGATAATGGTTGTTGTTGGATTGTTGTTTTATGCCGCACTCAGCAATATTCCAGCTATATGACGGCGGTCTGTAAATAATCGAGTCTCGACCAGAAAATCCAGTGATTGATATCATGAGCATCGACCCACGCAATTGGGATCGATGACATGTTTCAACCATGCTTCAACCAAGTCAGCGATCCTGACCACGCGAGTCTGGTCCAGACTCGATAATTTACAGACCGCCGTCATATAGCTGGAATATTGCTGAGTGCGTCGTTAAACAACAAACCAACCAACCAACCAACATGGTTCTGCGTGCCCCTTTGTAAGTGGCAGCGTCCGCCCGGAGAGCGGAAGGTCCGGGGTTCCATCCCCGACCGCGTCATACCAAAAGACGTTAAAAGATGGTACTTGTTGTTACCCTGTCTGGCGCTCGGCATTAAGGGGCTAAAACAAGGACTGGTCGGCTATGAGTCAGTATACTATGTCTGAGTGGGGTATTCATGTTAAACTGCAGCATGGTATCTCAGTGAGCTAGCACCATAAATCGGCATCAGTCCGGACTAGTACAAGCAGCCACACAAACACATACATGTACATGCACGTCGCTATATAAGTGCAATAATCTTGGACGCGACGTTAAACCCAATTTCACCTCACCTAGTAAGTGGCTTTTGTACGTGTACAGAACCGCCAGTAGTAATGATTGTATGTATGCTTCAAAAATATTCCTCCACAAACCTCATGAAAAGTAAATGAAATACACAAATATGTACCCCGTAAAAAGTATATGCGATGCATTTGTTCTAAACACACCTTCTGAACCGAAACAATATTTTCTTTAAAAATAAGGCTTGTGTGTCATTTTAAATTTACAACAAAATGAATTATCATATAATGGATAACGTTATCGATGAGATCGTCCAATCAAAAAAATTGGTATCACGATCCGATATACAGTAAAATAAAATCATCTGACAGGATTTGCTTCTACGTTTTGTTTGTTTGTTTGTTGTCTGACGCTGCACTGGGCTATATTTCAGCTATATGAGGTGGGGATTGACCGAGTAAAATATATCGGTTATATTTTAATATGTCGTCCATAAACTAGGATTATGATTACCGTATTCGACGTAATAAGCGCCCGGGCGCTCTCAAAATTAGAAATAGGGGGCTCTTATTAGAATATTATTTTGGTGAAAAAAAACATGGATGAAAGATAAATTTCGTGGTTTATGCTGACAGCCTGAAGTGTTTATATGCGACAGATATATTTTTCCAGAATTTAATTGCCCATAATTAAGGGTGTATATAACACACGAGTGCGTATTATACGCGAATAAATAAGTCCTTTGTACATTGATCAATCGGAAGGGATGCAAATTGGGATTGTTCACTAGCCAATATATCAGCAAATATCGCCGTGGGCGCTTATTAGAGCGGGGCGCTTATTACGTCGAATACGGTATACCCTGAATAAAATATCTTATATAGTTTCAAATCCTGCATCATTGCCTTCATACAAATTTAACATATTGGCAGGCACATCATTGCATTGAATTATATATACGATTTCAAAATGCGATATGTATCTAAATAAATTGAAAAATGATATTTCTTATGTACTTGATAAAAAAATGTGTAAAGTTTATGAGTAGTTGTAGCTTGAACAACTTCTTTCGGTGCGAATCATTGAAAAATGACAAGAGAACAGACATGGGAGTTATCTGCCCTTGGTCAAGTACGCTACATTATTTGAGGCAGTAAATATTTCAGTAGGGCTGTACATGTTTTCATCCCATTATTGTTTTCAAAAATCATTTGAGGCATAATGTAGGCATAAAACTGGTGTGACCATAAAGCAATCTTAAACAGCAGGGTTCGAAATATATGGAACCAGCGTTCACGACCTTCAACTTATCTACAGATGGCGCTGCAGGGAAGACTACAGCAGACGACAGGGGGCGCCGACTGACACACCGTTTACAAACATAAAAATATTGTGGCCCTAACCTGTCGTAAGGTTGTTGCTGTCAGTTATATTTAAAACAACTAACACAACAGGTACGTAACCAAATATACATTTTGACAAAGGTCTTAGGTTTTGACTGGCTAAGAAAATATATCTCCGCATGTCATAATAAACTCGAATACAGGAAAGTCCACATATTTTCTGGTCTGTGTTGTTAGAGGCGGTAACCAAACTTTGTAACTGGGCTTGGGTGTATTCTATCCAACCTTCTTCACCCTGAGTAAGTATGTTAATAAAAGCATGACATAGCTATGATCAGCTGATTATGCATTAATACTAATTAGAGGCGTTAATTCTAATTTGAGGTGCAATCAATGTAGACTTTTTTTTAATGCCACAGTCACTGTGAGTCAGCAATATTTCAGCTATATCACTCAATATATCAAAGAGAGCAGTGGTTGATATCATGAGCAAGGTCACTCAAAGTTTTGTACAATGGCAACACGTTTTTCCAAGTCACCCAACTGACAATGTTGGGGACTAACCCTGATCCTAACACTACAGTGTGATGTCGGCTCGGCTAGATGTGCAAAAACCATCAATAAGAAAGTGGATAAATTGCAACAGATGAGATATGGCAAGATTCCAATTATCTGATCTGTTTTCAGAATATTATTCTTTCCAAACACAGAAGAACTGATCTTATCAGCCAACATAGAATTAGGATTCCATTGGAGGAGAAAATTGGAGTTCATGGACAGTTTTGAAGTTACAGTGGACAATGAAGCAAGCAAGAGCACCAGTATTCAAACCATTAACACATACGGAAAATACGTCTTTGTTTAATTTTGAGGTATTTTGATGACTTTCTTTGTTTTGACTTGTTAAAATAAACTAATTCTCATCGGATATATATTTAACATCTCCTTGATCTATTAGTTTATAAGGAAATCATTTGAATGTCATGAAAATAATAAGCTGTTAAGTCGAGTTGCAACAAACATGGGATACTGGGAACCTGCTCTATGTATTTGTTTTCAAGAGCAGGCAGCAGCTATGTTCAAAACCTTCCTTGATTATCCAGTTTGTTATATTTCTATTATGATGAATGCTTGGGCTCATTCAGCACCATTTTTATGTTTTGGGAGTGAGATCACCATCTCCACTGCTCCTATCTTTAACGCAGGACATAATTTCTTTCACTCCTGAAAATAATTTGATTGGACAGCTATTTTTAGCATTATGCCAATCAGTCTCAAAATGAAGCACTGGTAGCGAAAGGTTCTAGGGTATTTATCAAAACCCAATGGATATATAATACATTGTATAACAGTGTCTCAATATGGTTCAAGACAAGATCAAAGTTAATATTCCATCATTATGAGACAAAGAGATGTAAAATAAATATGTCACTACAGTTTAAAAGTTGTACTTTTTACCAGTATGTCAAGAAGCTAGCTTGTTTAAAATAACTAAGTGATATTGTCTGACACTAATTTATCCCTCAAATACATTATTATTATTGATGACCTTCAAGTTAAGAGGTGTGAATATGCAAGACAAAGTTGTAAGTTATAAATTTAGAACTGTAGTGAATCTGTCTTGAAATTTGATCAATAATTTATGGGGAGTGGAGGGGACTCAGATTTTGTATGGGGACTGGATATTCTTTCAGCTACATCTACAAAAACCAGATATATTTTTTTCATTTAAACTTTGAGCCTAATTTTTATTTTTACAAAAAACACACACCTTGCATCAATGATTTTTTTTGTGGCAGACAATCTACTTTTATTTCAACAATCTGAAGAATAATTATTTTATTCAAGCATTTTCTGGGACAATATATATTTTTCTGATAAAATCCCAGACCCCTCAGAGATTATTATTGTTGTTGTTCCCTTGCATAGTTTGTAATTTTCCAAGTTTCACTATAAAAAAGTATCTTGTGTATTTGACTTAATTTACATGAAAAAACACTCCTTATCACATTTTCGATGAGTCAGTTTTTGATTTCATATCAGTCAGTACTGGTTCCAACCGAAAACATATTTGTAATTGCTGCCAGATATACTTTTGTTTGATTTGTGCTTTGTATTAGAGGTATGAGGTCGAGTAAGCAAGTGAAGCTTTGGTAGTACAGATGTACTGTCACTCAAAGTATTTAATAATTAATGGCTGTGTTGTATTATTGCATTATAACTGCAGACAACTGATGACATATTCATGAAAGTCAAGGTCATATAAGCCTGAAATTTTAGATTTAAGTGATCCTTAGCTTCAAATACAATGTGAATCTCAATCCAACACAACTTCATCACATTTTACTAAAACTTTAAAAAACTTCAAACTGACAATGATGATTGTATTATTGTGTTTATTTGTTATGGCTCCACAGCTTGTATATATCTACTGCAAGTAATACTGCAGGTTTGTTCTGTAATTCATAATTATTCAAAATCCAAATCTAATCAAAGATGCCCAATTCTAAGAAATATTATGCAGCTTTAGTTCTGCCAAATTCTTTAGGAAGTACAACTATAATATGTTTATGTGTTTTGCTCTATCTTTACAACAGCCCCCAGCTTCAAATGTAAGGACATCAGCTCCTGTTCCTTTCCTTCGGTTAAATGGTAAGTCATAAACCTGTGTGTGCCTGCAAATATTATTAGTTGAATGTTTACTACCATATTCAACCTAAATTTAGCAATAACCCATCTTACTAGATAATAATAGTCTTCAGCCAATAGGTGTGCTCCAGATTGTTTTGAAAATCTGTTAAAGGATTATGAATCAAAAAGAAAGCTGTTTATAAAAGTCATGCATGGACAGTTGCAGATCTAGTCAGTACATGTAATAATGTTGTAGTCATGAAGGGCCTAAGTACATGTACTACTAGATATGCTGATATACTAGATATTTATTTGGTTAATCTCTTTAACTTAGTTTTTTAGGCCAGACCAGTATTAATTCGTGTAAAATGTATTTTCTATGCCAATGTGAAGAGATGTGTCGTAAAATAAAGAATGGATCAGGGTTCGGTTAACTGACTGTTGAGCATGTTTAGGTCAATCAAAAAGACAAAATCATTCCATGCAGCATATTAATAGGATAATATTTTGAAATAATAGTTGAAAAAGCTGCCTATATTATTTTTTCTGCTATTTGTTATCTGTTTCTTCTGAGATGTTTTCTCGCCTGTTGTTAGAGAACCAAAATGTCAATAACCAGACTGAGCTTGGGCAACATCAAGATGTTGGCACCGAGCGACTTTCGTCACTCCATGCAAAACTTCATCAAGAAGCAGACAAAATTCGAAAATGGAAAGTTCAAATTGAAATTGAACTGAAGCAGAAGGTAATCTAAGTTGTTTATTGTAGTATCTTTCTGTAATATCGGGTAAGTGGATTATAAATAGTTTAAGCTACAGAGGATGACATTACGATATTAGAGCTGTTTCTTTATGTACAGTGTAAATTAAGTAGGAGTTCAGATTCATGTATTTGTTAAATGTATATTTGACATTCTCAGGAGAAGAAGATACATGAAGCATCTACTACAAATGAATCGCTTCGAAAGTCAATTTTAGAGCTTCAGGTGAGTGTAAAAGTGTTGAAAATGGAAAGTGGGTGAAATTTTGTAATCCCACAATTTATGTGTAGATGATCTTACCATCAAAAATGTTTGCATTGTGTGCATACAGTTGTTGAGCTGAAGTGGGGTTATTGGTCTTGTATGGTATGGCATGCACATGAGTGTGTGTGGTTGCTTGTACTAGTCCAGAAGGTTTTATAGTGCTATCCCACTGAGATACAATGCCACAGTTAACCCCACTCAGACACAGTATATGGACCAGTCCTTGTTTTATCCCCTTAATGCTGAGTGCCAGACAGGTTAACAAAAGTACCATCTTTTATGTCTTTTGGTATGAAGCAGCCAGGGAATTGAACCCCAATCCTTCTGCTCTCCTGAAAGGTGCTGTATCCACTACACCACGGAGGTGGTGATGCATACCGGTACATTAAATATGCATGGTGATGGCATTGTTTGAATGACTTCTAAATACCACTTTTCTAAATAAGGATGACGTCAGAAAAGAATGCAAGACCTAAGGGATAATGGTATTTCAAACACCTTAAACCTAAATAGTTACACCTAACATTTGAATTGCTTGTTTCTACTGTTCTCAGCTCCAGAATGAAAATCTGAGCTTAAAACTTCAGGAAGAAATGGGCAATAGAGAGGAGATTGTTCAGAGGTAATCTACATCATATTATATACTCTCTGAAATGAGAGACAATGAAACCATGGCCAGTTGATACAACTTAAGACAATGAAAGATATCACAAATTACTGGCAGTTGTCACCCTGTTGATTCCTTGTTGATTCCGGGTTAGAATTGGTCCCCAGCAACTTATGCTCACAGTAAGGGGCAATTTAATGGAACAGGTGTTCAGGCTTGGTGACTTGATTGATTGCGTGTCATCGTAACCTGAAGGCGTGGATTGTTGCTCATAATATCAATCGCTGGTTTGTCTGATCCATACCTGATGATTGATAGGCTGACGTCGTATAGCTGGAATATTGCTGAGGGCAGCATTAACAATAAATACACACACTGTTACTGTTACATTGTAACTTTGTATGTTGTAGGAGATAAAGCAGAGCATTGAATATGTATGAGGTTATTCTTCTATTTTCAAAGTGTTCATTCCAACACTGAATTTAGAGAATGGAAATATCAACCAATTTCTGTATTACCTTTGTACAGCAAATGCAGGAGACGGAAAGGAAGGAAATCAATAAGATCGGATTACATGGCTAATTAACAGCTAATTCTCTTTGCAGAGTTGCGTCCCTTGAGTATGCCAGAAACCTATAATTGTGGGTTTGAATCCCGGTTCGCCCCAATTATGTTTCTAGGTTTGTCAGCACCATACCCGTGCTCGTGGGTTTCACTGAAGTGGTAAAGGTCTAAGACCTGCATCACTTTGGGCTTTCCTCCCACTTTCAGCTGACACACTGTGATATAACTGGAATACTGTTATAAAGTGGCGTTAAATCCAACTCATTCACTCACTCACTCACTTACTTGATGGTAAAAGATTTAACTATATGTATCTTCAGTGTTTGAAATTAAGGGGCCCTGAAGATTTCTTTCCTATAGTATTTGAATCTTTTGACTCCCTCAATATTTAACTTTTAACATTAGGTTATGACAAGGACACCCTGACTTTCATGCTCAATTTCAAAACTGTATCATGTGCTGTTGAGCAACAGTGCCTTGCACTAGTTTGGTCCATATACTTTTTAATATTTGTGATAAACCCTTATAAAACATGTAATAAGATACTCTGCTGTGTTAAGGATTTTAGGGGGTCTTACAGGGATATATATAGACCTGCTCAGAGGCCTGTAGCAAATGACAGTAACAATTCCCAAATTGAATTTTCCCAATTCCTCAGAATTGATGAAATAAGAATATTAAAATAATCAAATTTTTAAAAATATCACGTTTTGAATCCTCTATAAATCCCTGGGTCTTAGGGTCCTTGAGATTTGCAGCTAAATTATTTGAATCTATGGTCCCTTGGGTCTTTAGCTTTTATATCTTTACCTGCATGCTTGACTTGTCTCTTTAACAATTTTTTCTTTTAAATGTAGGGGCACGGGTGGCCCAGTCGTCTAAGGCGCCGTGATTCGCTGTGCCGAGTTGCGGCCCTTGGGCATGCCAGAAACCTACGATTGTGGGTTCAAATCCCAGTTCACCCCAATTATGTTTCTAGGTTTGTCAGCACCATACCCGTGCTCGTGGGTTTCACCAAAGTGGTAAACGTCTGCGACCTGCATCACTTCGGGCTTTCCTCCCACATTAAGCTGACACGCCGTGATATAACTGGAATACTGTTAAAAGCGGCGTTAAACCCATTTCACTCACTCACTCTTTTAAATGTGTATATAAATGTACAATGTATAAGTGTACACATCTACAATATGACGCAATTCACTTTTCTCACATGATATGACTTATGCAGGAATGGAAGGAACATATTAGTGCCAAAAATATTTACATATAGAACATGTTAATAGTGTCAAGTTAAACAGATATAAGGGTGTGAGCTTGTATATATATTTGCTTAACCTCTCCCATTTCAGAATCAGTTCTACAAGACAGCTTTGTAATATTCTCAAAGACCATGCCGTCAAACTGGAGGAAAAATTGAATCATTGTAAGTAAATTCCACAGAACTTGTATGCAAAATGAATGAACTTGCATGATTGGTAAAAAATAGGCTCGTTGACATGTTTTAACTATATTATACAAAAAATAATTAGATTGCAATCAGTTGATAAATAACTACTTATTCAGAAGTTTTCTTTGCTTAATATTTTGTGATTTTTTTCAGGTGAAACAGAAAGAACAGAGCTGAAGTATTTAGAGAAAGATCACCTTCAGCAGTTTGAGGTTAATGTTCTTTTATTATCCATTATCAGGGTTAGAAATTGGCACTAGTCCTATAGTCCTTGCCAAAGGTATCCTAAGGACTAGTAGAATTTTGACATTTTTAAAGGTTTTGCTTTATGCTATCATTATGAGGACTAATTGGACTGAAACTGTTAGTTTCTACCGCTGATTATGCATATCATGTTTAGACCCATTCTGTGGCCATAACATATAATGCCACTGAAAAACAACTTCATTTTAGGCTTAATTTCATTCAGCATAATAATAGTGTCCATATTCTTAAAATTCGGCAGGGATAAATAAGAATGAAAGTTTATGCTTATCATGTCAAAACTTGACAGGTTTCTCATGATAAACTATTCATTGCATGGATAACATTATGAAAAGTCAGTCCCTATCAATTACGGTTGTGTGGTAGTTGCTAGTTTGGGATGTCTTCCATTTCCAAAGGTAGCATTGTTAAATATTCATGCTGTTTTGTGTAACAAATCTTCTGTAACTCATATTTAAAATTCTTTTTTATGCTTTTATTGAGACCTTTAAAAACTAATGCAAATATTCAAGAAAAATTTAGGTAAGCCATAGTTGCTTGTGCCTGTTATTCTTTTTGTGAAATGATATGTTTCACTTTGATCTGAACATTATCCAAATAAAGAAACATTCAGATTTTTGTCACTAAAAAACTGATAAACCATGGACACATATCTGATTCCAGGAACTGTCTGCAGAATTCAAGAAATTGGAAATCACAACCACTGAAAGTTGTAACAGGCTTGTCAACCAGTGTAAGCGTATCATTAGTTGATGTCATCATATCTCTGTTGTGTTATCTTCGAGATTAGACATAGGAAGTGCTGATCAGCAATATTAATTTGTATCAGTTCAGTACATTTACCATATTCACCGTATCAAGCGCACTATTCTAATATGCGTCCCCTGACCAACTTCTAGATCAATCTGTGAGCACCCCATACTAAGACTGAAATGTTACATGAAAGTCCATATTTGCTTCTGTATTTTACAGAAAATGCAGCACAGAAGGGGTATATATAATGTGCCTTGTAACTGTCATTAAAAATGTTTCAGTTTCATCAACTTTTGAACTAAGTTTGTTGACAACTGCCCATCTCTGAAAAGAAATTTGACTGATGTGCATAACAAGCATATTCCTTTGGTCAATTATCTAGGCACCTGCAGTGCTTATTGTGGCAGAGTCAGTAGCCCCTGTATTCATGCTAAAATATAACAACCTAATATTAGCAGATTTTTTACGTATTCAGTTGAAGGACCTTGATCTCACTGTGAAGATTTGGGGTAGAATAGGTCTTCAGCAACTGATGCTTGCTGTGAAAGGTGACTATGCTTGTAGTAAGAGGCAACTATCAAGATTTGGTAGTCAGACTTGCTGACTTGGTTGATGCATGTCATCATCTTCCAATGGCATGGATTGATGCTCATGATGTCAATCGCTGGATTGTCTGGTCCAGACTCGATTATTTACAGACCGTCGTCATATAGCTGGAATATTGATGAGTGTGGAGTAAAACAACAAACAAACAAACAAACAAAAGAACATTTAACATACAAAGAATGAGAATCAATGGGAACTTGTCATATCATTTATCATGCGGCTCAAAATAAAAGTTTTCCATATTCAAATACCAGGTATTATTGTGATTAACCTCAATGACCCAAGATCTCCCAAATTTTCTTACAATGCTTATATTCAGTTTCATAAACTGTTGACTGGTTTGCCCTTATTTTAACAAGATATGTCCCAACAGATTTTACAGAATTTGGTCTTATAAAACTGGTGCAAGTAACTTTGGTGACACTGACCTGTAATTTGGTAAGCAACCTGAATTTGAATCCATGGAAGAATTTGAATATTTGAACATTTAAGTTTAAGTTGGTTTGTTTCTTGACAGTACCAAAAATGGGAGCTTTGTAGAATTTTTACATTTTTTAAATAAGAATGATGTAATTATTAGACCAAGCAAATAAATAATGGAGGGATTTACGGCGAGAGAATGATATTTGGACAATCATAGTTTTGCCTTGCATAATATTATTACAACAACTAGAATATAATAATTGGCTTCTGTATGTCTTGTTGAACTTTTTCTATACATCACCAATTCCTAATTTAATAACATTATTGAATTTTTCAGTGCAACTTGAAAGGGATGACCGTAGCAGGCTAGAAGAAGCATTAGAAACAAAACTTACTGATGCCGAAATTCAGGCATGGACATATTTCATGTTTTTTGTTTCATGTACTACTGATAATGTTTACTGTACCTTGCTGTGTATAAACTTGGATAAAAATGTCTTCTAAAAGACAATGACTTCTGGGAACTAAAAATGTGAATGATGATGACATATGTTGTTGGAAGTATGTTGAAAGCATTGTGATTAAAATCTACTGTTTTAGACAATGTTGCAAAAATATAAGCTAACTTTTCTCAAAACTGTTTTACATACTGCTAAGAATCAGCAAAGATGTTTTGATATCAGCACTGATGACATACTAAAAATAAACTGGAAAAGTGAAGATATGTTATTGTAGCCGTTTTTGAAATGCAAATGTTTAAATGAGATTTGGCATGGAGGTAGCATGTAGGGGGAATCAACATTTTACAGTCTGTCCCCTTTGCTGAATTTTGTAATTTTGTTATAATTTAAACAGAATATGGCTTTAAGTTTGGTTTCTCTGTACCATTTAGATTAGTCTGGTTCAACATATATCCAGTTTTATCGTGCTCTTTGATATGCAATATTAATAATGAAATACTTAATTAGTTTGGTCAAACTTGTGATGGCCAATGAAAGGTTGATGAAGGTCATTGTATCCCAATTGCATCGATCAGTGCTCATGATGTCAATCACCTGATTGCCTGGTCCAGACTCGACTATTTACAGACCACTGTCATATAGCTGGAATATTGCAGAGTGCAGCGTAAAATAACAAACAAACAATAATATTTATCGGTATAACACAATATTATATTCATGTTATAATATTTGAATCAAATTGTGTTTTTAGAATGAATTACATAGATAAATTGCTTTTGAAATGGATGACTAATGCTTTTGTGACTTTGTTTCAGCTGAAAGTATTAATGGATCAGTGTGATGAAAAAGACATAGAAATCAGAGATGTCAGAACAATGCTGCAGAGGAATGATGAAAAGATACATTCTTTAGAACAAAGCAATGGTAGATCAAGGATCTTTCTGGAATTTGTTAGCCCCAAAAAGCAGACAAATAACATGTGACTTATCAGGACTGATTACACGAATAATGTGCTTATAGTCTCACTCTGCATGGACAAAAAGAATTGTTAATATACAGATAGATCTTGACCAAATCAGTTTATGGGCTTTGTAATTAATAACAAAATATTAGTGATCACATGTGATAATAAATCATATGTTAACTATAAATGCTCATTGCTCATTCTCAGTTCATGTTGGCTATCAACTTCTGAGTTGAAAAGATGCAGATAAGACAGTTTGATGATGTAAGGCAAGAACTGTATGGACAGCTGGCTGTCTACAGCTTACACCTCTCTGTTAAAGAAAAGGCCTGACAGTGGTGTCACCGATGACCCTGCCATCGATTCCTATTGTGTTCCATGCTTGCTCTGTGGCCATCTGGAACCAATGGCTCAGATCTCTCTTTCAAGTGAATAAAACATGGCATTATAGCACACCTAGGCTAGAGCAACAAATTACAGAAATCTTGAACTTACTTTACTTGCGTAGACACTTTGTAGCTATTAAATGCTATGTCAGTGTCCATTCCATCTGACTTTTCACTGCAATGATTTTTTCAAGCTCCTATTAAAATTTTGTCAGTAATAATAGCTTTTAAACAATTGGAAACTACATGTGACTGAGGGACACCAAATATATTTGTATTGTGTAAAATGTTTTGATATTCTCACTTTTGTTCAGTATAGTTTTTTTACCAAAACTAGACGTGTGTTTTACGGTTGAAAACAAATGTTTGCTCTCTCTCTACAGCCACTTTCCATCAGAAGTCTGAACAACAGCTTGCAGAGATGAAATTGAAAGATAGTGATTTGGTTACAACATCTGAGCAGCTTCACTTTTTTCAGGTTATTGTTCTCAATTGTCAATGGAAAATTGAACTTCTGCATATAGATAAGATGCAAAATATGTGTGAAATGACCAAGAAACCTACAACATTAGAACTCATGAACGAATGATCAGTAAACCCCCCACCCACCTCAACACACACATTTTGAGGCAGAAAAGGATACCATAAATGTCGTAAGAACCAGTGATGTGTGACATTGCTGATTGTGTGTAATTGTGGGTGTTACTTCCTTTGGCATATAAGTACATTCACTCACATTCAAAGAACATTCACTCACTTGTGCGTGTGGGATTTATTCAAATATTTGTACTGTGACATCATAGATAACAAATTCCTACTTTAGTAGTTTAAGATTCCTGCCTTCATTCTGATAATAATGAATATTCATTATCATTACAGGAAGAAAAAGTACAGAATGAAGAAAAAGTAAAAGTGTTAATTGCTGAGCTGGAAAACTTGAAAGAGGCCAAGAGCACTTTGGAACAGACTATGGTTTCTTCAAATACAGAATATGATGCTAAACAAACATCCCTGCAGCAACAAATTGATGGTTTAAATTGCAGCCTTCTTTCCCAAGTTGAAATGTAGGACACCAATTTTATTGTTTTGTGATATCAAGTTACCAGAACGAAGATTATGGTTATGTTTGCTAATGATGCATCATTTCTGATCAGGTAGTAATTGTTTGTCAACATTGAGCTAAACCAGAATTTTTTTGTGTCAGGTTTTCGTAAAAGCTGACGGTTGTTTATCTGATATCAGCATGCCTTGTATGTATTTACCTTATTTATTATAACAACTTGCAATAAATTATTCGAATAAACAAAACTGTAAACTGTTTATTACCCTTTAAGTAAACAAGTTAAAAAAAATAGTGATTATGGAGTAACTTCACACATTATATAAACAGGTAAAGCAATTTTTTTTAAATTTTGAAGAAATAAAAAGCACACGGTTACAGTCAAAGGAACGCAGAGTATAAAAGAACACAAAGCAACCGAAACATAAATTATGAACTACTTAAACACTAATTAAATACAATCTTTAATATAACATCAAATAATGCCGTTTATTGTAAATACTTTCTGGCTACAATTAAATTAGTTCATATTACCACAGAGATCATAATTAGAGTAAAAATTGGCCTGTATCTACAGTTTGGCACTACAGTTTTCTAGAGGTTTGTGTATCATTCAGCACTCCTATAATATGGTTTATCAACTGATGGGATACCATTGAAACACAACTTTGTCTGCTGTGATGTGAATTTTTCAACCTGTTAATGATTACCCTTACAAGCAAGAGGTCAAAGGTCATTAACTAATACTGACTTGATTTCCAACAGTATAGATCCATGTGCTTGTTTCATAGTTTCTCTTTGTTTCAGCTGTAGGAAATATGAACAACAGTTGTCAGAAATGTCATCTCTGTCTGAAAACTTAAAGAGTTCTAAAGGTAAACTTCACTTTCAGGCATCATGACTACTTCCCTTTGGTTCCCTATACCACATGCAGAAATGCTGAAATCATATGTTTGGGGGGGATATAATTTAAGCATAACCTCCTAATTTTATTGCTTTTATTCAGATTTATTCAATGTGTACTATATTTATTTGCATTATTGAAAAATAATGTATTGAAGCAAATGTAACTTGAGTAATTTTGCAAGGTTTCACTCCTGAAAAAGAACAAAACATCAACTTGATCAGGACCGCCTCCGGAGAGAGGAAGGTCCGGGGTTTGATCCCCGGACGCGTCATACCAAAAGACGTTAAAAGATGGTACTTGTTGTTACCCTGTCTGGCGCTCAGCATTAAGGGGCTAAAACAAGGACTGGTCGGCTCGGAGTCAGTATACTGTGTCTGAGTGGGGTATTCATGTTAAACTGCAGCATGGTATCTCAGTGAGCTAGCACTATAAATCGGCATCAGTCCAGACTAGTACAAGCAGCCACACACACACACGTGCATGCACGTCGCTATATAAGTGCAATAATCTTGGATGCGACGTTAAACCAAATTTCACCTCACCTCAACTTGATCAGTTATAATAATAGCCTCTGTTTTAAATTTATCATAAATATGGCAATGAAATTCATTGTATCATATCAATTTGACTCCGGGACTGGTGGAGGACATCATAGCAAATATCATTCGGTACAGGTGAGCTTCTGTACCAGTTGTGTTTGGGCTATTGTTAGCTACAAAAATGTAAAAGTACTGGAATGTATATTTCACCAGTAGACTTGGGCTTCTGAATACTGGCTAAAGTTGCACACTGTCATTGCTACATATGCATATATTTTCTATACACTCTCTAACACAGATGTTCTTATGCTTGAGAAGACTGAGCTGGAAGGAACTGTCAGTGCTTTGAACAAGGACATAGTAAGTAGAGTGAGTGAGTGAGTTAAGATTTAACGTCACATCGGCAGTATTTCAGCCATATCGGGACGATATTGTAAGTAGATTCTATTTATTTCTCAATTCTTCACTTGGGAAGAGAAGGTCCAAGAGAGTTCATGGTGTACTGGGTTGTCTGTCTTCTAGTATTTCTAAGAAACCACAATGTACATGTGTGATGTGATTGTAGAAACTACAAATGTTTCAGGAATCTTTTTTCTATAAAAACAAAAAGCTTCAGAGAGCTGAAACATGGAATTTGCAAAAAGTGTGTTTCACATAAAAAAATAATATCTTCAATTGTGGAAAATATTTAAATATCCTCTTCTCAGAAACACATATACCCAGAGAGCTGATATATTTTGGTAGAGTATGTGGCGATACAATAGGGTTCAGCTTTAAATATGGTACTACAATGTATTCAGAATGAATCTTTTATCTGATAATTATAAAGCATGTCCAATTTGAGGAATATCATACTTGCCACAAAACTGATAGACATTAGCAGCATGCACATGCCAGTGGCACATATCAAGTTCAGACTCACATTAACTTTCATTGCGATGAGCTTGTTGCAAAACAAATATTTTTTTCCGTATTCTGAACAACCTCTGTTATAAGGCTATTTTCACTACGATGCAAGACAAATCAGTTGTTAAGATGCCGGACACTTTCACAAAGGATTTAATTTGAGTGAGAAAGAAAATTTCTATTTTCGATCTAAACTAACTTTATTGTCATGCCTGATTTGGCTCTTAACATTTTTTTTCAACTAAGGCATTTAATTAGTTTATCTGCTTTTAAATCCCCGTGCCTGTAGGATGTTTTATTATTTACGAGTTTTACATCTGCATTCATTATCAGTGTACTATTTGAAATGCATTGGAATGCTTCCTGTGTGCATGTATGACTATTAAGAAATGATGAATATTATATTGAGATACAAAAATTTTAAAACTAACAGAGTGAGTATCAGAGGACAATTGATGAACAGATGAAAGACAATGCTTGCTTCAAAGAAGATCAAAGGCGATTTACAGTTGAACTGCATGAAAGTAAACAACACATTTTGGAGCTACAGGTATTGCTATATTCATAGCATGGTTATATTTATAGTATTTGACATGGGTTTTATATTGAGATTATATGCTTTGAAAAGTAATAAATCACCAACTGACAAACATGCCCCTGGGTTTCTGTCAAGGGCTAATTATTATTATATGTATATGTATCTATATGTTTTATATTAGGTGAATGAAATCACTTGTGATATATTGTATTTCAATTTGTACTTATAGAAATTGTGTATCAGGCCATCAATTTACATTAGCCATATATGTTGATTGACCATTCCTATAGTGCAGATCTGTAAATTTACTGAATTGTAATATATATGATTGTGTTATCAGCATAATATTGGGTCTGTGTTCCTTGGTATGCCACTCGTGAAAATATCACCTTTCCCTCATCACTCAATGAGAGAAACATGGTATTTCATTTGACACATGGAATATTCTCTATATATTTATATGTTAACTGGAATATGAAGCACCATTTGTGAATTTGAGATATTGTCCCTGTGTACCTGTAATTATGGTAATCATTAGCTGCTACAAAGATCAGTATCATAAATGTCGTGATTCAAACTTGCTAAATTGTCTAAAATGGCATACCTGGTAGTTTAATTCCCCTTTTAAGTTTTCTATAATAATGTTCACGTTGGCATCATTCACCAGAACCTTTACTACACGGGTCCCAGTATCTGGCTCATAACTATTCATAGTGATATGAGATGAAAACCATTCAATCTTCTTTCAGAAAGCTGTTGAGTGTGAACAATCAGAAAAATTACAAAAAGAAGAAGAGAACAAAGGCTTGCTTGACAGAATTGCCACCTGTGACATCACAATTCAGGAGAAGCATGTTAGTACAGTGAGACCTCATCAACTTGAATAATTAGATACATCACTCAAGTCAATATTACTTCATGAGAGAAAATATGTGTGTCAGAATCTTAAGTTATTATTATTTTACACTGCAGCTGCTAAACATTTTTAGCTCATCTGACATAAAATCAAGTGAGCTTATGTTATGCCTTGCTTGTTGTCTGTAAACATTCTGTCTTCAGAAACATCTGGACCAATGAAGCTGAAACTTCATATCCTTGTCCCACCAATATTGGTACCTGAATTTGCTCAAGACGTTCGAATTAGATTTTCAATATGACTGCCATATATGCGTCCATATTGAACAATCTATTTGTAACTCAGCCATTTTTACTCCAGATGTAAAGATATTTGGGGTATATGTAGCTGGTATTGGGGGTCAAACATATATCTTCCTTTTTTTGCGATATTTTATATTTTGACCTTGATTTCATTTTCGCATTGTGATAACAATGAAACCTGAAAGTTGTTATGAACATTACTCAACCAGTGTGTTTCAAAATGTGATGAAATTTTGTTAAGTTTGTTGTTTGATATTTTTTCAAATAAATTTTGTCTTTTTGTCAATCCGTGTCATGTGTCTCAAAATATATATTTGGTTTTGTTAACTTCTTTTTCTCTGAAATTGCCAGACTAAGGGAGCTGAACTTTCATGAATGTTTCTCCTCGTGATAATATATTTTGTTGAAATCGTGAATTTTCGTGTTATAACAGTTATTAGTAAACATTCATGCAGAACATATTTGAATATAAATTCTGACAGCAACTTTTGTTAACATGGTTAAATTGTCTTGTTAGCATTTTCAATTGTTGACTACATATCCAGGTGAGCTACAGAGCCGTGGCATTATATTTTACATAATATTTGATCACAAATTATTGATGAATGAATCATGGTTATTGACTGTATTTTTCATGATTGTAGACTTTCATACTAATATAGCTTTGTTTTGAATATCAGGATTTATTTAAAAAATACATTGTGATATAACTAGAATACTGTTCAAAACAGCTTTAACCCCAACTCAATCACTTTTGAAAATATTCTTGATATCCTTTTTCTTAATTAACCAACAGGAGGAAAATCTAAATGCAATACATCAGTGTCAGATTTTGGAAGATCAGCACCAGGTTTTCAGAACAGAACTTCTTGATCTACAACAGTCTCTGATGACGGAAAAGTAAGTATGGCTTTGCAAGAAGTTTTCTCCACATATTCTGTTTAATACTTTTCAAAAATATTTCAAAAGCTTTTTTTTTGAAGACCTGAAAAAAAATCCAATTGAGAAAAATCCTTAAGACCCTTCTTTGATTGGAACTTTAGGTGTAGGAATCTGAAACATTGATACGATTCACATTTATTCGTGCCATTAAAATTAAAAAAATATAAGCTTTCCCAGAATCAAAATTGGTAAACATTAAACTATTGAAAATCTTTTGAAATCTTCTTGTCAGAAAGCACATGGCCAGGCAGGCTGAGATTTTGTGAAGAAGTATTTGTCCATAATGTGATGTGGATTTGTTCATGGCTTGAAATAGATGTTAAAAATAGTTTAGGCGTGATCTTGTCAGAAGAAAACTTTTGGAGCTTAAATTTTGGTAGCATAACAGCTGGATAATGATGACATTTATATAAGGAATATAACTGTATTTTGTAACATTGAATTTTTTTGAATATAAAACAAATATGGTTGATAATGCGAAGTTACAAATTATATAATCAAGCATCACAGTATCCCATAATCATTGTTTTTAATTTTTTAAAAATATATACCATTACTGAGAAACTGCAGTGCCATATTGGATGATACTTGACAAAGATACGAAGTTACAAATTATATAATCAAGCGTCACAGTATCCCATGATCATTGTTTTGAATTTTTAAAAAATATATAACATTACTGAGAAACTGCAGTGCCATATTGGATGATACTTGACAAAGATGGTTGTTATCAGAATATTGTTGTTAATAAGGTTTATAGAGTTGTAACTTAATGCCTTGTGTCCACTAACATTAACATGATCAAACAGATCACATTACACACCCAAATGTGATATGAAAATGTGATGTGATGGTTTGGGATTTCACCCCATGTAGAACAGAGAAATCTTGAGCAACAGCAGCACCGTCTTTTTTGCCTTTAGATTGCTTTTATAGACTGCTTTCATTCCAAAATATAGGCAGTATGATGTTGTCTATCTTCAGAGAGAAGTTGACAAATACTTCCATTTCGCTTGACAACACTCGAGGAGAACTCAGTACAAAAGAACAAAATTTCAAGTCCTTAGAAAATGAAGCAAAGAAGTTGAAAAAAGACTATGAGGTTTGTATTATGTTTTTACATTTTGATCATGAAGAAAAATTAAGTATTCTCTTTAAAAATTGCATGTACAGGTAATAGTATTTTACTATAAATATTTACACGGAGTGACATTAAATAACTACTGAAAGCGACATAAAAATCACTCTTATTATACAGTAAAAAGTTTTGTACAAATGATTTATTCATTATTTTTTGTTGGTTGGGTTTTTGATACTTTGTACAGCCCATGAAATGAGTTCTATGTTTGCTTGGTTTTGTTTTGGGGCAGATGTTACAGAGAGACCTCAAGAAAACAGAGGATGAACATAAGAAATTGAAGGATATTTTGACACATATGGAGTAAGTTTTTTCTGACGGTTGCTTTTAAGTTTTATTTAGTCAAAAAGTCATGTACCCTCCAGAGAATACCTAATGGTCTTGACATATCATATATATTAATGTTTTACTTATACAAGCATTTTTACAGCATGAGGGATTTATCTAGGATTTTCAATTAAGTGCCCTTGGTAAGACATTTTGTGTATCTGTAATTTTGAAAAGTCCTTATTTTCATATGTCAAATTCAGTTAGTGTAAAACAAAGTGTTGAGTCACTTTACTCTTTCTTGGTTCATTTAATCAGTGAAATATAAGTGACATGTACAGTTTATGATTTTAGCCACCTGTCAGAAGCCAGGGTCCAGTGAAATTCTCGTAAGCGTCATCTTCCTGAGGCAAGGGAAACCGACTAGTATAGAAGTCCAGTTTCCACCCTCTGCCGAACTAGGCTGGATTTCCGGAGAGTTACATTTTGTCTGAACTAATGAGCATATGCATAGTCCACTCAAGATCGCGTCACGAACTAGATATATTCGATTCGTAAAGAACTTGGATTTGAAATGTGCAGATTTCCATTAACTGCAGGATTCGCAAAGTGTGTGTACCGTCAACTGGGCGTTGACAGATATTTTCCAAATCTTTTCATGTTTCTTACCAAGGTGCTCAAGTGATTTGATGCACCTTTCTAGGTAAGACATGTTTATTACAAAAGAAATCTTGACTATCTATAGTCTTGACTGAGTGCCGCCATTTTGTTTGAAGCAAATGCAAGTAATATGAGAGGTGGAATCTGATTGATCAATAGGAGGGACATAGAAGCAACATAACTCATAATAGCGACTGGTGGCGCTATTATCGAGCCACAAAAATCAAGCCAAGTTTGGCAAGGGTGGAAACTGGACTTTTTATTGTCAGTCATCGCCCTTGCCCCAGGAAGATGAGTAAGCGCATTTAATACCATTCTATGTAGTAACACTAAAGTCTACTGAAAACGATGTTAAGAGCCTTTTTCGGGCTAGTAAACTCAAAAGTTTATGGCACAGACTGTAACTATGTTCAGTAGAATGATATGAACTTTATGTTAGAGCTAGGAAACAATGTTAAATGTACCAAACTGTTTTGTTTCAGTATCAGTTATCAGTATGGTATTTTTGTTTCAGACTTCTTCTTCACACACTTAAATTCCAAAGGGCACACCTAAATATCTTAAAGATCTTAGGTGTGTCCTGTGGCACTCTTGAAAAATATACGTTTGAACATCCTGAACTTGATAAATAATAACTTGGTGAACTTGATAAACATGATAAAAGGATTGAGAACCATTTGAGTGCAAAGTGTTAAAATTATATTATGAAAACTGAAACAACCAACTAATATCATGGTAAGTCAGGGGTTGACTTTGTAGGCATATATAAAGGCTATCCAAAAGGTTGACTTTGCGTACTGATACCAGACTTGGTGCTCATGCCACCACTACCATTTTGTACTGACCTGACACAAACAAGTATTTCCTGTACAAAGTATAATAATCCATTAAACGCATCAATAGTCTGCAGTGGGAATCAGTTAACTTGCCATGTACCCTTGCCTCCTCATAAGTGAAAATGTGGACTCATCTCCAAAAATATACCCAAAGCTACTTATAAGAACGAGATAGGAACTGTTTGGTGGTTGTAAACAACTGAATATGTATTGAGCATGTTGAGTATTTGTTATCAGAATTTATACAATTAGAGCTTTGTTTCACTCCTTGTTCAAATTTGATTTTACATGTTAAGCCAAGTGTTTAAGTTTGTCCAGGGCTTTCACTGTACTAAATTGCCATGATTGCTACAGGTACATGTACAAAATGTGGAATAATTAGTAATGTTCCCCCATAGATCCGTGCAGGCCCCTACATCAATATACAATATACAAACATGTTACATTATGAAATCATTGCAACTATATTTATTTTCAGGGAGGAAAATGAACAACTGACACAGAAAACACAAGAATTGCAAGATACCATTAATGAATTGAGAGATGAAAAGACAGAACAGGTAAGTTTGAGTTTATCTCATTCTATTGTTTTCCCTGACATTTGTTATTAGCTCAGCTAGCCGTAGACAAGTTCGTGTTTTACATTAGTGTCTGTTCCTCTTTCATTCTTTCAAAAGTAAAATCATTTATGATCATTTGTTGGGTGTATGTTGAAGCTATTCCTGTATACAGAAACAAAATTTGCAGAAACCATACTGCAAAGGACTACACAAAGAAATGCTTTTACTTTTGTAAATGAAATGATTAATGTGATTTTCAGATTAAGTTTGTCATTCTGATGACCAACTTACCTTCTGAAATTGGACTAATTTCACTGAAGAGTTCTGAAATAAGGCAATTATGGGATGGCTTAGAAGTTATATTGTTCTTTTGTAAGTCATAACAAGTATCCCAAATTCTCATGTAGACAGAAAGTAGAATGAAATCTCACAACATTGCGATACATATATGCATAGATATATTATCGGTTCCATACCCATATATTAGTAAATGTATTTTTATTGCATACCATTTATGTTGTTAGATCTCTAATGTGTATTCGTAAATGTGTTGTTCACTTCATACAAGTAGAACCTGGAGACATAACTAGGCACATTGTTGTTACAGGATAAATACTTGGATAAGGAGATGCAGTCCAAGTCAAAACAAATGTCAAATCTTGAAGGAAAACACAAAGACTTAAAAGGAGAGATAACTACAAAGAATAAGCAGATCAGAGAACTGGAAAAAGAGGTACATATATCAGCATCATATCACAGTGATTGTTGTAAATATTTTCTTTTTCAATATAATTGTTTTGCCCAAAATCACTGTTGTTGATGTGCCAATATCCATGGATAAACACCATGCTAACTTCAACTTGTCCACAGATAATTTTACTATGGCATTTTATGTAAAAGAACTAGATTTAGGCAGAAACTAGTAGTCTTTTGAAGATTTTTGCTAGTCTTGCGACCAACAGACTGGTTATATGACTACAGAATGTTTTAATGCACTTGCCTTTATATATTTGGAAAGTCTTATTGTTTCAGCTGCAATTATTTTTTAAATATATTTATTGAATTTACCTCTGTGTCATTGCATGTGGATTGAACATGCATCCTTTGGTGTATGGAATTTAGCAAGTACGAAATGGTCATATCATCAGAGGTCCCTTTCAGGATTTTGATACAAAATATATCCCCAACTCTCCATGCTAAACATAAGAGTTTATGAAAATTATAATGGGATGTTGACAAAGTTTGACCTGGCTGATAGTATGGTACTCTAATGGTCTTGATCATAGCTGGTGAACACTAGATTTATTATCTTGAACTTTGCATGATGTTGAAAATATTGGTTGAAAACTATATGTTTACTTTCAGATCAAGGGCCTGAAGTCAAAATTATCTTCTCAAGTGAAGAGTACTGAATGCAAATCAAGGGAGTATGCTGAACTTCAGGAACAAATGGACACACTAAAACTTGAATTTGATGACATGAAATCAAAACTGATGTTATCAGATGACGATCTAAAGATGGCAAAGTTAAGGGAAGAACAGGCAGTCCAACAGGTACTGCATGATGTGTTGATAATCATGAAACCTTGAATATAAGACAGAACTTGGACGTAAATGTTTTTTTCACCAGGTTTAGGTTTTGATAATCTTGTTTGCCTCTCAGTGAGATTGTTATTTCACCTTGCCTGGGTATCTTTGCTGGTAAAGTTTAAAGAGTCAAAAGGCCGAATCCTCCCTATTAGCTTTGTGAGTCTAATATTTATTTGTGGTTTGTCTGCTTGTATACTTCTGCATGTCAGTGTCTCAATTTCCAGAAGCATTAATTGTGTTGAGTCATCTGAAGTATATATATCTGGCATTCTGGGGATATCTTTAGACATACTCATCACTGTGGTCATATATATATGCCATGGCATTCCTTAATTATGGTACCTGAAAAACAGTTTGTTTATGCAATAACTTGAGAAGTATTTATTATAGGTGAATGAAACAGTTTACAAAACATTTTGCAAGGTTTGAAATTCCTTGTATATAAGTGCCAATGGTACTGTTGAAATATTGGTGTCCTGTGAAAATGACACTTATAAATGACATTTATTATAGAAGTTTTTTTGTGGCAATGTTTTATTATGTAAAACAGGTGAAAATGATAAATATGTGAACATGCTCAATGACCATTTTTTGGTAAATTTCATACATATTCTTCTGGTTGGCACACTTAAATTTCAAAGGGCACACTTGACAAAAGCTAATTCTCTATCCTTGATGACAGATTTATGATGAGGACTATTAATGATGAGGATTATTTGTAAAATAGTTGTACTTGTTTGTTTTTATGGCCTTAATTACTATCACTTTTATAAAAGTATGATGCATGATGTAGTTTGTGTTGGTTATGGGATGTTATTGGTTCTACTGGGCATTATATATGGTTCATTTTCATGTCCTTAACACTTAATGTTATGCAGATGGAAGAAATGAAAGTAAAACTAGGTCATAGTTTGATGGAGCAGAAAGAGACAGAGGAGCGGTGTGAATTCCAGCTCTCACAGATGATGGCTACTATGGAAAAGTATAAACAAGAAAATGGCAAGATTGTACAACAGAAGGAAAAGGAACTTGAACTCTTACGATCTAAATCTGATGAGTTTACTACTTTGAAACAGGTTTATACTTCTTATTTTTTTGGATTCATTATTTTGGATTCACTAGATTATGTTGTTTGTATGGGCTTGTTTCGTAACAACTGTTTAAGGCATAATAACTTATGATTCAAATCAACTGACTTCACACTCACCATGCTCACTTTAAAGGCACTTAATTCTCAGTTGCAAACAACAATGCCATTTATCATTTGTCGAAATAAGATAAGTGTTTGAAATTATGTCAAGGGGCTCTTTTCATTACTTTGATCATAGAACTCACAGATTAAGGGGATCCCTAGCTTAAACTTAAGCATGTTACTACAGCAAAACCCCTCAAGGACCCAAGTACTCCCCCATTCCCTTAAATTCTGACACTGTATGTGTGATATGAAAAAACTAACAGTTCATAACTTCTGATCTGACATTGTAAAATAAACTAGCTCCAGTGCAGTCTGAAAAGTCAAAATGCTAAACTTTTATTTCAATTTTCATGTACTGCTCACCGTATTACACTTTTGTTTTTTATCTTAATATCCAGCTAGTTATACAAAACAGTTTGCTAATTGTAAATTCTTTGTATTTAATTATTAAAATGTGAAATATTTCAGCTGAATAATGACCAGTGTGGAGAGATGAAGAAAGAAATAGAAGAAATGACAGTAAACTTGGAAAAGAAAATATCTGAGAAGGTGACCTAAAGCTTTTAAAATCATCAGTAGGAAATAAGCCAAATGCAATTGATCAAATAGCTGGGAAGGAATTTGTACAAATTATCTTGTCACTGAAAAGTATTAGCTTTCTTCATGACAAAATTATCACTTTAGTTGAGTTATAGCTAAAAAAACACATGACAATTTTTCTATTCACAGAATGAAGTTTTGTCTCAGTTGTCGCAACAGAGAAAGAAAACTGACAGCATGCAAAAGAAAATTGTGCAAAAGGTAGAGAAAACCTTTGGTATTCATTGCTGGAGAAGATTCTACCAGGACTGCTCGTTTTTATTCCCCGTCGTTGTTTAGTCCATGTGCTTCAAAATGGAAAAATAAAATGCTTTTAAGCCCATGGGCTTATATTAAGTTAAAAAATTAATCAATCTCCCGTACTTGATGTTCTTCAACATATGCTGTAGTATGCCTTTATATAGCCAATTTGCATCAATATTGCACCTTTAAGCACTGTTCAAGCACTTGCATTATATGAAAAGGAAATGATAATTTTCCTCCTCCAATCTAAAAGGGTACAGTATGATTGTTACTTTGTGACATGTTTCACATCAAATGGATTTTAGGATCAAAATATAGTGGTATAACAATTGAGTTATTTTCTCTCTTAAAGGAAACAAAGATAGCTCAGCTACAGGATGAGATGAAGGCCATGAAGCAGTCACAGCAGAAAAAGCGTACATCAAGTGCTCTAACACAGACAAGCCCAATGTCATCACCTGCAGCAATTTTAAACCCTTCAGTTGGTATTTTTCACTCTTAGTAATTTTCCCAATATTCAGAGCTCCAGATAACTGTTTGAGCAATTGAGTTTTTACTTTTAATTTGGTTATTACATTTTTCATTGGGTAACCAATATTTTCTAACTGATCTATATACCACTAAATTGAGTTTTTCCCCTAATGAGTAAACATTTTGAGATTTAAAAAAAAATGAAATAATGTTTTAGATGTATATATAACAGTTCTAAATATATACTTGACTTGGAAAGTAAATTAGCTCGTAATTGTTTTTGGAAACTAGCTCGATTCTATGTATTCTTAAAAAGCTTCATTGGCTATTTACGAGTGCTGTTTTTATACATTTGAGTTTTTCATTTAAAGCATGTGTTTCTGTACGCAAGTTAAATGAAAGTAATTGGGTTTTGAATATTTTTGGGGGGTATTTACTCAAATACATAGCTTATCTGCAGCTCTGAATATTTAATAAAAAGTGATAATATATATATTACTTTGCACTGAAATTGGGTTCAGACTGATCATGACATTTAGATAAAAAAGAAACATTTCTTTTCTGAAAATTGTAAGAAAACCATTTTTTTTAAAGAATATGACAGCGACAGTGACACTCGGACAGAGCTGTACAGTGTGCGGATAATATTGATAGTAGCAGGTGACCCATTCCTTTCCCAATGAGCGCCAGTATGTCACATGATTACGTTGTCAATAGCACGGACACTCTCCTACCCAGCGTTCCATGTGACCAGCATAGTACCTCTGCCATGATTCATCACATCTTACACAGTCCTTTCAAGATATTGCATATGTTTTTCATCAGTTTCATTATTGACAAGTCTACATAAACACGTCATAGAATGGTTAACTTTCATTGAGAAAATATCCTAAATCCGGTAAATCGTGAAAAAACGTTCCATTTGCGTAGTTATCCTATGTTTACATTGGTTGTTCGGCTCCATGTGCTATCATTGAAGCCCTACAGAGAGCTAGCGGTCACGGTCACTTTGATGTGTAAACATGTATTGTCATGCAATTCACTGTCGCAGTCGTAGTAGCATATTTATATAATTATGCAAAACAATATGTAAAGCGCCCCCAAATACTTATATAAGTCAGTTCTATTCTGATTTCTGAAAAAGCGCGTTTGTTGACACATGATATGCAAATTAGCCTGTGGCAGTGGTGTTATGCTAAGTCACCAAATGGCAATTTCTTTCAGATTGTGCACATTTCATCAAAACTAATGCCACATTCTTAGTTTTCAAATAGAGAATGAATTTTTATCATTTTATAATATAATTGTTGTCACAAATATCTGTCTGCTGGTATCGAACGCGCCGCATGCAAAGAACGAACCCCACTGGCCCATGACGTCATTGATACCAGAACCATGGCGAAAGCTGGTCAGGACAAATATTTTGATGTCCATTGGAAGTTAAAACAGAATACTCGACTTACCAAAAGAAATCACTGAGCTCCACATTGTATTGCTTCGGTTGGCTGGTTTGTTGTTTAACACCACACTCAGCAGTATTGCTTCGAGAAATCCAACCGTGATGCCTTAAGGGTAATCCCCATCATCAACAGCAATAGTATGACTCAAACAAACACACAAAGTCCACAGAATGTTAATATCAATCCATTTTCAGCATCAGCTGGGTCTGGATTTCTTTCTAACTCTAACTTTACTCGGTGCAAATTTTATTTCAAGTGAATGACATTGCTGTAGCCGCCATTTTCTGCCATTTGTAAAACCAAGGGATGTCACTCCAAATGGAATGTTTGGGAAGGATAACGTCACGATGTGATGACTCTCCGTGTTGATATAGTTCTCTATAAATAATTAAATTTTCAATATGATGTTAATTTATGGCGGTTTTAAGTTAACTACATGTCCAGGTGACCTACAGTGGCACTTTCATCCATAGATACGTACCTTTCTTCTTTGGTAAAGAATCAGTTTATTGCCAGATCAGCTAAAGCCCCATGGCTATGTTTGTTTTTTCTTTAGACGACAACACCACAAGTGTCAAAGCGAGACAGTTCACCCAATAGCCAAACTAGGACACCTCAGAGTGCACTGAAGACTCCACAGAGAAGCATACTGCGAAATACGAACTCCGTGTCAAAGAGAAGGAAGGTTGCCTTTGCCTCAAATGATGATTCAGGAACACATACAGCATCAGACTCAGATTCTTCAACAGAATTAATGGAGGTTGAGGTATGACAAATGGGATATCTTCACATTGATCAATAGCTCAAATATGTATGCTTGTCATAAAAATATTTGTTCTAGCCAATTAGATGTTAATCTGGTAGTAAACATCGGAACCCATCAGGCTGACAGTATACATTCAGTGTTGTGCTATCTCTGAATGCCAAGGTCAGATTCTTTGCATTTAGTCGATGCATTAAGAATGATTCTGGAAATATTTCAGTGCAGTATTGTTCTTTCTTTCACTTTAGTTGGAGAATATTGATGTAAGGCAGATGAAAAATGCCAAAACTACACCAGTCTTGTTACGCCCCTCACCAAAAGTGAAACCATCTCCAAAGGCAACAACACCAGATAGGAGAATTGAGGCAACTCAGAAAACACCACTTGTAAGAGTCCCTCGTGGTCCACCAGTTAAACTCAAGGAAAAGAAAGAGGTAACATTTCTTAAGCCATGACTCCTTTGTCTATGATCATACATTAACGTAACTGTATTGATAGAAAAACACAACTGAGCAATGATGGAAACGCTTTTTTTCCCTATCATATACGGTAAAACCTTTTACCAATTTCACAAAAAAAACATGTCGACATCAGGATTCAAACCTATGAAGTCCTTCAATGAAGGCTAACCAATGTAGTCTTCGGCCAAAGTGACATGAAATAACTTTTGTGGAATTATCAACTAAATAATTACTTACATCAAGACTAATAGTTTATATGTTTATGAATGGTGAAATATCTTTTCCACTGTACATTTTAGGTAATTGTATTTTTATGAACATTCAATAAGGGGCACTCAAAATCAGGTAACATGTCACTATATTTTTCAAAAATAGGTGATATTGTAGCATATTTTAGATGAATTATTAACGGATTTGACAATAAAACACAATAAAAACATAAATTAGGATAACTGTAGCCTAACACTGTCAACTTCAATAAACCCTTAGAAGGAGTTGTGAGTGAATAATTCAAGGGAAGAATTCTGGAAACAATAATTATTATCAGTAAGTTGAAATGTGAAAATCCTAAAGAACAAACAATGTCATTTAATGTGTATAAAGACATCTCTGCTTCAAGTAGCATATTGCTTCCTGGCCTCATCTGCAGATCTTCTCACATAATGACATAAATGTTTTTTCCCAGAAAACAAAACTTGTTTGATTATAAACAATCTTCAGATTTACAGTTATGCTAAAATGTTAAGATATGTCATTTACAAATTCATCAAATATTTTAGATTTATATTTGGTGAAATTCTCACTAATATTGACTAATACTAAAAAAAGGCCTAAGTGTCTACTGTAGCATTTCAACATGATCATCAAAGGCAGATGGCTGCAAATACTGTCTGAAAAGCTAGAATGTCATAGAACAGTCTGACAAGATATCTTATGCTCCTACTTTGATGTATTTCCTTCTTTCATTTTAGTTGCTTGTTTCAGTTTCAAAGAACTCACATCGGTGCACCAAAATGTAAAACAATTTCTAAAACAGTGTGATATATATAAATGATAGGCTCTGTACTGTAGCGGTACATGTTGTTTTATGTTTCAAGTTTATGCTCATTATTTGTATTTTAGATGGACTCAAAGTATACAATCTGATAATATTTTGGTGTTGGTTAAAACTAACATGGAGCATGACTTTTGTGAAGAAATTTATCCTCAATTTACCTCTTTATCCAACATGGAATATATTCTTTGTAAAATTTACATAGTGATTTGTATTACTCTTAGTGTTGGAATCTGTTCATTATTGATCTATTCTTAATAATTGAAAACAAATATTTTGTATTTCCCAGATATTTTACATGTCCAAGTACCTGCTTTCAGCCTAATTTGTATTTTTCTCCCTTAATCGTTAGGAGTCGCATATGATGCATGGTGTATTTAAGCATAATTATGTATCAGTTTCCTGAAGGCTTGAACATTTGGAAAAAACATTTCATACCAACTATTTATTTTTCTCCTGAGTTGACACTAGACACAATCAGTACAGATGAACTGTCGAATTAATAATATCAACACCTTTGGGAAATAAAAAAAAGAAAAAGAAGAATCATTATCAATATTTAGATCATCACGAAAATATTGGGAAGCTTACCGATATGGTATCATGATTTAGGTTCATCATGTCAGGCTTATAATTGCCACAATTTCTCATTGTAATGACCCTTTTTCAGGATTCCAGGATCTTGCCTAGCACTCTATGTACTATGTATGTTGTAAGAGTTGACTCAAATGGATTGGGTGCTCAGAATCAGTGACTAGGTTGATCGCGTTTCTTCTCACCCCTACGTTTCTCTAAATATCAACCACCGGTCTGGAATCAATAAGATGTAATATATAGCTTGGATATTGTTGACCGCAGCATCAAAGAACATTCACTGCCTCATAAAGAATAAAAATTATTACAGCCTGTCAGATAAATTTCAAATGGTTGTTTTTCCAGTAATATGAACCAAAATTGGATCATGTGGATGAAACTTTTCTCATCATTTATTCTTGTTAGTGTTATGTGCTTACCTATTTAGCCATGAATTGAGAATAATAATGTCAACTGTAACCCAATGTCTGTTATTTCTGTAATGATTATATGCTGAATCAGCAGTTCTCCTGATGAGCATCATAGGCTTTTGGCCATTTTGCTGTGGCCTGGCTTTAAGTGTAATTTGTAATGTTTTGGTGTTAAATGAAAGACCATATAAATTACAGGTCTCAAAATGTGCTGCGCATGAAGAAAGGGACAAATTTAGAGAACTCTTCCCAGACCAACATGGAGTACTGATTGGCAGAAGAGAAAATACCCAGAAGGTACCATTCCAAAACTTACTTAACAATACAAACAGTAAAGAAATTGTTATCCATACTTTCATGTCTGCTGGTATGATTTTGTGTCCACTGTACAACACTAACTGTCATGAATTAGGAGTGCTTTGCGACTAATTTAAAGTCTCTCTATCGCTCAGATGAAGTGGAACAACTGAGAATCATAGACTTATTGTCACATCGTCAAAGACAAACGTTATTATCCCCGGCCATGAAGTGGGGGGATATAAGAACGGAGTTTGTCCATCCATCCGTCTGTCCGCCTTTCAATGTAGATAAATTTTCTCCAAAAACTATTCAAGTGAGAGAAAAATACTATTTTACACACAGATGTTACTGGTCACGATCTTGAATGAGTTTGAAAATTGGTGTCGTACATTCAGTTTGTACAGGGATATGGCCCTTGCTCCATGCTTTTCAACTTGGTGCATACTGTGTGACATGGGGATAAGTTTACTCTGAAACTACTGAAGTTGTCATAGCAAACGATTTGGAACAACCATCGACTAAATGAACATTTTTATCCCCCGCTGGGCCAGAATGGCCGAAGAGGGATTATGTCGTGGCGCAGTCCGTCAGTCTGTCCATCCGCCCCACAGAGGGTACTAAGCTTGTGAAATCAACTCCTCCTGTTTCCAGGGAATATCCCTGAAACTCTACACACAAGATGTCGACATGTTGATGATACGCATATTGCAGTCCCATTTCATTTTGACTAATTTTGACAGAGTTACTGCCCCTGTTTTACGGAGCTTCATTTGCCTAATTGTGAGAGAGGGTACTAAGCTTGTGAAATCAACTCCTCCTACAGTTTCCAGAGAATATCCCTGACACTCTACACACAAGATGTCGACATGTTGATGATACGCATATTGCAGTCCCGTTTCACTTTGACTAATTTTGACAGAGTGACTGCCCCTGTTTTACAGAGCTTCATTTGCCTAATTGTGAGAGAGGTACTTAGCTTGTGAAATCAACTCCTCATCCAGCTTTTAGAGAATATCCCTGACACTCTACACACAAGATGTTGACATGTTGATGATACGCATATCGCAGTCCCGTTTCATGTCGACTAATTTTGATAGAGTTACTGCCCCTGTTTTACGGAGCTTCATTTGCCTAATTGTGAGAGAGGGTACTTAGCTTGTGAAATCAACTCCTCCTACAGTTTCCAGAGAATATCCCTGACACTCTACACACAAGATGTCGACATGTTGATGATACGCATATTGCAGTCCCGTTTCACTTTGACTAATTTTGATAGAGTTACTGCCCCTGTTTTACGGAGCTTCATTTGCCTAATTGTGAGAGAGTGTACTTAGCTTGTGAAATCAACTCCTCCTACAGTTTCCAGAGAATATCCCTGACACTCTACACACAAGATGTTGACATGTTGATGATACGCATATCACAGTCGTGTTTCATTTGGGACAAATTTTGACAGAGTTACTGCCCCTGTTTTACGGAGCTTCATGAAATCTACTCCTCCTCCAGTTTCCAGAGAATATCACAATATCTAACTATAACTATAACTATAGTTAGTTTCCTTGTAGAAGGCTTTTGTGGGTGAGCTACATCCTTATGGCATTAGCATTCAGACTGGATTACTCCCAACAAAATGTTCTGCACAATTTGTACAAATGCAGTGCTATCTACTGTTGTTATTTCATAAAATACAAAGAAAATATAAACTCGTTAAAAAAATTAATGTGGGGGATGTTGTGCTCTCAGAGCACTCTTGTATTCCAAAGGCAGGCAAGTTTACTCTGAAACTACTGAAGGTGTCATAGCTAACGATTTTGAACAACCATCGACTAAATGAACATTTGATTCTAAAGGCTAATTACCCTGACATCTATATGCCCTGAATCACTTTATTGCCGTTACTTATTACCGTAGGGGGGTGCGCATTATACTTGGGTGCGCACTATACTCAAGAAAATATGGTAGATGCTAATCAAAATTGTTAATCCCCAATGTATTTTACATCGACTGCCATCCTGAATGAGATGTGTAATTATGTCACTGATTAATTACTGTTGTCTAAATATATATGACTTACTGTATGTCAGGTGACCTTGGTATAAGCCTTGGTCGAGAGATGAAAAACAGAGAGAGACGGTCTTACCCCCAGCCTAGCTAGGGTTAGGCTAGGTGCCCTGGAGCAATTAAGTGATTCAAGGCACTGATTTCCCTGTGTGCTTCTATAGTAAAGTATAGTAGAATTTACTGTATATGTATGATAAGCATGTCTATTGCATCAGAATGCACACTAAACCCCTTTGATTTTCAATTGATTTTCAAGTTAGATACAAGCTAATAGATATCAAAATACCTATATTAGAAAAAGCTAAATACTATAATTACATATCAGCGGACATCTTCAAGAGGAAAATGTTATAACGGCACTGGTCATGATCATAGGGCATTAAGTACAGACTACATGAATTGGTATAACATATCACTACAAAAGTTTCCTGTTGCATTCAAAATACAATAAATTTAGTTCGGTAGGCATCTTTCTGTCTGATTAACTTTATAGTAAGCAAGGGCATTATTAGTAGAGCCAAGTTTGTAATTTATGTGTATTTATGTCTATTCCATGTATGCAGTGTATAAAGTGCTACGTGTAACCAAATTATTTTTGTTGTTATGAATTCAAAATATTTTAGTGATATCAATGTTGGATTTCAGATGAAGGTAGAGAAAGACACAACACATGTTAGACATACTCCTTCCAAGAATACCGGAAAGTTTTTCAAAGGATCTCCCAGGGAAAGTTTGTACAAAAAAACCAAGAAGGGCGAAAAAGATGAGATAGCTTGGTTTGATTTAGACTCAGTATTTGGATTTGGACCTGAAGATTAATTCTAGCATAGATTTTAATTCAGTTGCATTTTACGGGTTGGCAAAATACATGACCCAACCCTCCAACATTGATTACATGATTATGCACTTGTTGCAGGATTGTTTGTTTACAACAGTACATACTGTAAATGGTGTCTTTAGATGAAGCCATCCATACTTTAGATGAAGCCTTGAAAAGTTTCATGGGTGTTTGAAAAGCTGTTGTTGTTATGAGCACTTAACATGCTTCATGTTCTGTTTTTAATAAAAGAGAGAGAGGAAGAGATAAACAAAACATAAAATGTTTTTATACAATATTTAATAACATCAAACATCTATATGAGTACTTAATATTCCTCTGTCTGCAATCTGTTGTGTTTTTTGTCCAAAGAAGAAGACTATTGTTCATATTTGCATTTGTTGACCTTATAAAATCATTGTTTATTTTTATGCTTTGAGTTTGTTTTGTCATTAGCCAAATCAACCTCTAATGGATATGATAACTAACACAAAATTTAACTCATCCTATAAAAATTAGGCACATCTGCACATAAGATTTGCTTAGATATTGATAATTTGTAGAATTTGATTTATATATGTTAATTATTATGGTTTTGTCTTGTGTTAACAATACAATACAATTAGTGAGTGACTTCTATGGTTCCTTTGAACAGTATTTCAGTTTTTGCCTAATGTGTGAGAAAAGCTCAAGGTGATGGAGGTCCAAGATGTCAACACTTTGTATATCCCATGAGCCAGGGTATGGTTGGAACTCCTTCCATCTTGTACAAGCTGACTAGTGGATGTGTCTGAACTAAATCTACAGTGTTCAGTAATATTCTAGATAATCCTATATAGTTCAGAAACTGCAAAAGACAATTTCTTCTCATCCACAAGGGCATAGCTTTGTTGTAACCATGAAAAAAACATATTAATCTGAGGTAAGTTCAGGACAACAATGTACAAATCAGTCTGCATCTTGCTGAAGCCGATCTCCAATTGACAGATAATGTCAGTTAATTTCATGTCTGTTACAGCATGGCATATTACCTTGGGAGAATAGTGAGTGAGTGAGTGAATTGGGTTTAATGCCGCTTTAACGGTATTCCAGTTATATCACAACGTGTCAGCTTAATGTGGGAGGAAAGCCCGAAGTGATGAAGGACATTTACAACTTCGGTGAAACCCACAAGACTGGTTATGGTGCTGACAAACATAGAAACATAATCTGGGCGAACCGGGATTTGTACCCACAATCATAGCTAGGTTTCTGGCGTGCCCAAGGGACGCAACTCTGCACAGCAAATCGCGGCACCTCAGAAGACTGGGCAACCCGGCCCACCTGTGCCCCCCTGGGAGGATAGGGACCAGAGACATTTACTGCTTTGGTTGAACCAATGAGCACAGGTGTCAGGTGCTGACAGACCTAGGGCAAACTCTGGGATTCAAACTGACTAGTAGATTCTTGCAAGACCAAGGGATGCAACTCTTCATTGCCTCAGATGACTAGGACAGCCATGCATCATCAGCTTTGTTTATTGTTTAATGCTGCACTCAGCAATATTCCAGCTATATTATTGTGGTCTGTAAATAATCGAGTCTCTAGACCAGACAATCCAGTGATTGATGTCATAACACACGCAATTGGCATACAATGACCTGCATTAACCAAGTCAGTGAGCTTGACAAACCGATCCCGCATCTTAACCTTTAGCCTGCTGAATTATTTTCACACTTCTTACCCCTGCCTGCTGGATTAATTTTAGCATAAGGCGCTCTAAAGAGGGTGGGTGATTTCAAACAGTCGGTGCCTCATTAAACAAGGGCCAATTGAAGAAATATTTTGCACATTTATTCCTGATAGAAAACTACACAGTACTATATAAAAATATCCCGATGTTTTCAATCATACCAATGTTAAGACCAAAGCGAACACAAAATTTGTAAATTTTCTTGAACTTACCTGAATTGCGTTATTGAAGGTGGTTTGCATTTCATGCTAGGAACCTTTTAATATCGTAACATTTGTGCAAATTGATTTCAATAATCATATCTCCGATATCTTAATTTTAATTGAGTAAAAATTCGGGGTTTTTTTATCAGCAAATAACAGCACGATGGTAAATTAGGAACCATTTCAGTGAATTTATTATCTAAACGTTAAACATAAAAATAACTTAATTTTCGAGGTCATCATGTCGGTTGCAGAAATACGAATATTCGGGTTGATCTGACGTGTCATGTTATAAAATTTGCAGGAAACAATTAATGACTTATAAATATTCACTAATCCTAATTTCAAGCGTTTTGGTTGAATATTTACGATATACAAAAATAAACAACCCGTGTCATGATGCTAGCAGACGTCCTAAAATCAAACATGGCGCGCTTCGCTCGACCTCCGCATAACTTATTGCTTTTTTAATATCAACAAAGTTTACATTGCCTTTAAAAATATAACTTGGCGAAAGTTGACGATCTTCTCAATCGAAGAATGTTTTATTCGTCATATTCCAATAAATATGACGAGAGAAAAATGAAAATAAAGATCGTGAATTCTGACAGCCCTATTTCAATAAGTGCATAGGTCACCGGATGTGATGTCACAGACAGGGGTAGTCTGCTGATAAGCTTTCGAAACAAAACAATTACAGTAACTTTTGAAATAGTTCGCCTATCACATACAGCAAAAACATAAGTCGATACACAGTATCAGTAATCGCCACTAACATGAAATAAAAATGTGACTTTGACGATATAATTCGCGTATTAGTTAATCCGTTTGACCTTGCATGTTCCCGTGACCCGGAAACGGTAGACGATAAATCAACACGCCACATGCAAGTTTCTCGGTATCTTTTATTTGAACTTCTGTTGATATTTAAGAATCACCATTCAATGTTGTGAATATAAATGGGACATGATTCATATTTCTGCGATGTACACGCTGATAAGTTTCACTACAACAAGTGTATCCCACGTAATACGTCTATGTCTATCGTCGATCAGCAAGATCACCCTCTTCAACAGGTGCGCGAAAATGGGCTTGACAAAACGTGTTTCAAAATAACATCCCCGCGTTGCTGAATATGATAGGGTATATATAAGCAATAAAATGCTACGTACATATTTTCGGTGTTAGTTCCACATTACATTTGGGATAGCTTTCCTTTCGGGAATACATTCATAGATTCTAGCATGATTTTAGAACAGTTACACGAAGGATTTCTAAATTTATTCCAAAAATATGAAGACCACCATGATGGCGTATTGATGATAGATTTGTAATTGTTTAATTATTATCCCCCGCCGCGCGAAATCGCGAAGCGGGGGATATAGTATTCACGACCGTCCGTACGTCCGTCCGTACGTCCGTCCGTCCGTACGTCCCACCTGTTTGTTGCCGCGATATCTCAAGAACTAAACACTGGATTGTCTTCATATTTGGAACTATGGTGTATATACAGACTCCGCAAACACCAGTCGGTTTTGGTGACCTTGATCCCATTTTCAAGGTCACAGCAGACAAATCTGCTTTTAGAGTTGGAAAACGGTGTTGCCGCGATATCTCAAGAACTAAACACTGGATTGTCTTCATATTTGGAACTATGGTGTATATACAGACTCCGCAGACACCAGTCGGTTTTGGTGACCTTGATCCCATTTTCAAGGTCACAGCAGACAAATCTGCTTTTAGAGTTGGAAAACGGTGTTGCCGCGATATCTCAAGAACTAAACACTGGATTGTCTTCATATTTGGAACTATGGTGTATATACAGACACCGCAGACACCAGTCGGTTTTGGTGACCTTGACCCCATTTTCAAGGTCACAGCAGGCAAATCTGCTTTTGGAGTTGGAAAACGGTGTTGCCGCGATATCTCAAGAACTAAACACTGGATTGTCTTCATATTTGGAACTATAGTGTATATACAGACTCCACAGACACCAGTCGGTTTTGGTGACCTTGATCCCATTTTCAAGGTCACAGCAGGCAAATCTGCTTTTAGAGTTGGAAAACGGTGTTGCCGCGATATCTCAAGAACTAAACCTCTCGATTGTCTTCATATTTGGAACTATGGTGTATATACAGACACCGCAGACACCAGTCGGTTTTGGTGACCTTGACCCCATTTTCAAGGTCACAGCAGGCAAATCTGCTTTTGGAGTTAGAAAACGGTGTTGCCGCGATATCTCAAGAACTCATCGCTGGATTGTCTTCATATTTGGAACTATGGTGTATATACAGACACCGCAGACACCAGTCGGTTTTGGTGACCTTGACCCCATTTTCAAGGTCACAGCAGGCAAATCTGCTTTTGGAGTTAGAAAACGGTGTTGCCACAATATCTCAAGAACTAATCGCTGGATTGTCTTCATATTTGGTACTATGGTGTATATGGCGGGGGATATTTCGTCACTCTGTGACAAATACTTGTTTACAGCTGTTTACAGGTTTTAAAATTTTAAGTTATATTTAATAGTTATTTTTCCCACAATGATGGTGTGTGGGGACAGTAAATATTAGTCTTTGCATCAGCACAGTGTAACTGATCAAACTTCAATTATTATCTTTAGTTTAAACATATTTATTCAACAATTATTATCTTGCACTCTGAAAATCAACTATGTGAATAAGTAACTCTCTGATGTCATCATTTTTATTTTAGTATTCCATGAATAATGAATAAATCAGATCCTTAACATATACATACTAAACTCATATGGACATTAATCTTGTGCATTATGTGGTTTGTTTCCAAATAAAACAACTCTGAAATAAAATTTAATAGGAATTAATTTAATTTAATTACAGTAACAGTACTTGTAACAGTACATGACTTTTTTGTTTGTTTAATCACAAGAACCATGGTGGCACATGAGTTTGTAAGTTTGCCACAGGTTTCTTAGAAAAGGCTATCTCAGTCTTCTGGTTGGAATGAAAAGAAACATGCCTGTGTACATGTTTACCCTTGCCAGATGTATTTTTTCCAGTCGGCCAATCCATTACTTTTGTTCACCTTATGTGGTCTATTTTATACATACAGGTACTGCTTCCAACCTGTTTTTTCTTTGTATGCAATCACAGTATCACAACTTCCTCAGCTGGTGTGTATAAAAGTTCCCCTGTCATCATGAAAAAAGAATTATAAAGGAAAGTCATATTTTCATTCAAAAACATATCTGTCTTTCCTTGAATACTCTTTGTCTAAGTGCCAGAAATGTCAGTGTCATAAAAAAATTAAAAACAGATTTTCATAAGGACTTTTCTTAGGTAGACCTAGATCTAAGTCAAACCATGCGACAAGTTAGGTAGAACTATAACCTTATAAGCCCTCATTTCTGAGGTGTCCATATTTTAAACATTTTTAGGACTAAACGTGATCCGTGTAGATCTGCCTGTTTTGTTATGTAAAACAAATTCTTGTCTTAAAAAATGAGAAAAGGAATCATTCAGACGAAATTTTTTTATCCCATTGATTCACGAAAATCAGTTGAAATGTACAGTGGTGACTTTTGTACCCAAAATTTCTAGTAATTTGTTACCCAAATGGGTATGTGATTTTGTAGATCTACCTAGAATTATTTCAAAAATATACATTAATTTGGTGTCTTAAACTTAACATATCACTTTCCTATCAAAACAATTCATTCTAACTTAGGTTTAACCAACTTAACTGGCCTCTCCTTCAGTGACAAGACGTCAATTTTCTCTCAAAACTAAACAATCAATTTCAAGGATCACAGTCATAATCATATTTGGAACTTGATGAAATATTTTATTGTGTGTTCTGTTCATCTACATGAAAACATAAATATAATTATAGATCTATTTTCTTATTTTCTTGGGTACAAATTCACAAAGTATTTTGGGTACAATTTAATTTGTTTTGGGTACAAAATCACATATATAGGAGCCTAGAATCTATATATATTTACACTAGCCTACCTCCTTGTGTACCAAAATTTTATCGGTTCAGAGGACGGGAGGTTCTCAGAAAGTTTTCAACAACATCTTTAATATTTAAATTGTTCTTTTTGTAATGTTAGACCTATAACAATATTATGTTATTATTATGGCATATCAATACGTTGTATCGCTCTCCGTTGCGTTCGTTTTTAGAAAATATTTTAAAATTAAAATCATCGAGCGTGAAATCCATTACGGTTTCGGATTTAGACTTGCACATTTGATGGCGACAATCACGAAGAAATATGAAACAAATAGGAGTAAAGACTGCTCTCCAGATCAATAAATAGTAAAGAGTTGACGAAAATTAGTAAATTATGTATTTTCTTTTGAATTTGAATCTATTTCGGAATTTCTTTATGATAGCTTACCAACTTTTGCATATTTTGCTTCCATGTGTCACATGCGGTACGTGCTTCCGGTTTCAGAAATGATAGCTAAAATTGCAAGTATTTTGATTATTTCTCGTAAAATGCATTATTTTGCTATTGAATGGTTTACCTAGAATGTATATCAGTTCAGATTTTGCGTATCATCCAATATTTGTCATTTTTCGCAGTGTTTGTTGACTTTGTTCAACCACAGGAGTCCGTATCTAAAAATAGACGCCCTCATGCATATTCATGACCATCTCCACACGCGAGCTCGCCCTTCGGGCTCGCGTGTGGAGATGGTCATGAATATGCATGAGGGCGTCTATTTTTAGATACGGACTCCTGTGTGTTATGCTATTCGCCTGTCGAATGGGTTCGACATCAGATGCACGGGGATGGACACCTCTGTCGAATGGGTTCGACGTTAGCGTGCAGAGCTTTAAGCAGTCAACTCTTACGACAAGCTTCTGTTGCTGAAGACCTATTCTAGCCCGGATCTTCACGGGGCGCATTCATCATCTAACCCAAACCACTTGGCACTACATGTAGTCATTACTAAAAGGTCAGGAAAAACACATGGATGAGCTGTAATATCTGCATCAAAACAAATGGAAAAACTTTAGAAAAGGAATTTTTTTTATTTACATTGGCTCATGAATAAACCAGCATTAATACAGTATCTTGTACATCTTAAATTAATGTAAAGGCATACATGTTATTGCACTGAGTTCCATGATTTGAAAACAAAGGAATGTAAGTTGATAACTAACTTGTATTACCATACTGCACCTCTCCAACTGATGTGTACTTATGTAAACAGACATAGACACGTTTCCTTGGCAAAATATTATGGTATAGTTAGGGTCTTTGTCGTATATTGAACTTTCGCCTCATATCATGTAAAAAGCAACAGTTTAATAGATCATGGATATTATATGAAGTGCAACATGTGATCATGGTGATGTGTTAAGAAATGTTCAAATCAAATTTCTTCCTCTTGCAACACAACTAGAACACAATATCACTATTTATGTCCTTTGGGAGTTGAGAAGCGTCTGCTGACTGTTACTCATTGATCCATAGGATTTGGGATGCTTCAGTCTCTTTTCTGAAATGGATATATTTTAGAAGAATTAGGCAAAATCTATGAAATTAACTCTATAATAATGATAATTCTGGTATACTGAAAAGAAAAATGTATATTTTTCAGTATATTTTTATGAAATTTTGTGCTCAGTCTTCACTACAAAAAAAAAGAAATCCCCCAAAATATTCAAAAATCCCTCACATTTTTTGTTGAGTATATAATCATTCTAAAACAAAGGATTGACACATCAGTTAAACAGTTCAAACTACAATCAACGCTAGTTTTCAAACTAATCCGTCAGTCACTTTGTTGAACCATCAAAGACCGTGTTTCCTCCAGAAGTCCGAGCGTTATTCAGCTGCCAAACTTGTCATAATGTCAAGAGTATAAACATTTGATGTGAGTGTATTTCACCAGGGCTAACTGTTTTCATAAGGTTAAGGATAAATTACCTTTTAAGCAATCATGATATAGGTGAAACATTTTTTGGTGTAAATTAACCAATGGAAGTCACTGATGCCACCGCACATTGAAATACTCTGTGGAGGAGGATAGTTTCCTTGCAAATAACATACTCAACTTTTACATTCAAACATGAACATGAGGAAGAATTTTTTGAGTAATGAGTCAAAACAATAGTTTCATTAATCATATAGTAAGGCTTCTGTGAATATTACTTACGCTGACGATGGCCATTTTATGAAATGATGTCCATGAAATGCCACAAGCTCTGCTTGTTTTTAACTTAATAAAGTTATACATATGCAAATGGTACCACATTGGCGAGTTTGACCTTAACCTGACCAAAAAGGTTGACTTGGCTATGTAATTCAGGGTTAGAACTTAACACTAGCCCAAGCCCGGGGCTAGTACAAATTCCTGTGGACCAGTACAAATTTTCCCATTGTTTTAACATTACAAGGGCATTTTAACTTTACCGGGGCTAGTAAAGCTTTCAATTTTAGTTCGAACTATGCTGTAATACAATGTATGATACAAAACAAAGCATTTGCAGATGAGCACTTACGCACAACAATTGTCCTCTCATTAACTTGTCCAGTTAGTCTGTTGCAAACGTAGAATATCACAGGCAAAGCACATATAACTCCAGTTATGACCAACACTGGTGCAAGCTCTCCATTACGATGAGAACAGTGGTAGCCTTCACTCCACATCAGTCTTGTATAGTTCATCTGAAACAATACCAGTTACAGTCCCAATACAAGACAACTTCATGGAGAAAGCACAAAGATAAAAATTGTTTGTAAAAATATTTTTATATGACAGACATGGGCAGATGCAGCTTTTTTGAAAAGGGGGGTGCACAATTAAGATCTATTTATTGTCCTTGGTGGTAATTTATACAGAAATAAAGATTTTTTTCGAAATAAAAAGGGGGGGGGGGGGGTGCGCACCCCCTCTCTGTATCCGCCCATGACAGATAAGGGAAAACCGAATATACTCAGATAATGACACACAAAGTCATCACAATGGGTCTCTGTTGAATGTTTCAAGTGGTTGTTAATGTATAATTTATGGCAGGATTCTGTTGGTTAGATTGTTCTTTAATGTCGCTCTCAGCAATAATCCAGCTGTATGACGGCAGTCTGTAAACAACAGAGTTGGAACCAGACAATCTAGTGATTAACATCATGAGCATCAATCTCACAATTGTGATACAATGAGATGCTTCAACCAAGTCAGCGAGCCTGACCACCGGTTCCCTATAGTCACCTCTTACAACTAGTCACCTCTTATGGCAAACATGGCTTGCTAAAGACCGATTCTAACCCCAATATTCACGGGTACCTGTCCACGTACCAGCACAACATTTTTGTTTCTCTGTGTATGCCAAATATAATCAGGATGGTAAAATAAAACCACAAAACTGTGTAGCTAATCTGATTGTTCACAATATTTGCAACACTACTTGAGTCCAAATTGAATTCTGCAAGATTTTCATGCAATTTTATTCAATACACTTGGTTGCATGTGAAAGTTTGTGCTATCACCACTGATCACATCTACTGGAGTGAGTGAGTGAGTGAGTGAGGTTTTATGCCGCTTTTAGCAATATTCAAGCAATATCACGGCGGGGGACACCAGAAATGGGCTTCACACATTGTACCCATGTTGGGAATCGAACCCGGGTCTTTGGCGTGACGAGCTAACGTTTTAACCACTAGGCTACCCGACCGCCCCTACATCTACTGGAAACCATGGTAACAAAACTATTAAATGTAAACAGCAGATTTCTTATTCATTTCTTATTCTTTTATTCTCACTAATATCCAAAATGAACCACATTTAAGATCACATGAACCCTAAAATATTTACATCCCGAAAATGGCATCATTTAGTTGTATGCCCCAAGAATTGACCATGTTTACATTTTTCTAAAATGAAATCCCAAGTGAAGATGCATGCTTCTTTGTTCTGACATTATTTTCGCAAGTGGCAGTATCAACAATGATCACAGTTGTTAGAACAGGGAGCCGTTGTACAAAGCAATCTTAGCACTAAGGTGATCGTAACTCCAATAACTTAGTACAGACCAATCAACCAAGTCATCGAAGCTTACAACCAGCATAGGTTGCAGGGGATCAACAGGGCATCACTTAACGGATTGGGAGTGTAGACTCTGTGACTTAGTCGTAAATTGCTACTCATAATATCAATCACTGATATGTCTAATTAAGACTTGAAAATATGCAAGCCATTGTCACATAGGTGGAATATTGCTAAGTGTGTTGTCAATCAAACAATGATCAAATTCAACTCACCATATCCACAACATCCATACAGATTTGTGATTTAGTCTCGTCCATGATTGCTGTGTATTTGTCATTCAGAGACCTGTATTGTGTTTGACATTTGACACAGAACGAAGAGTTCCCATGCTTAATACTCTCTGGATCGATATCCTGTTGGAAAATGTTAGAATTCAATCATTGACAAACAATTTACAAGCATGTGGTATTCCAGGATTAGAACTACATGTGAACTCAAAAGCTTTACCAGCCCGGGTAAAGATAAAATGACCTTGTTATGTTAAAACAATGGGGAAATTTGTACTAGCCTTAGGAATTCGTAGTGTTAAGTTCTAAAACTGGAGTCTTTTCGTTAAAAATTGGCCGCAATAATGTTGCACCATTGACCATAGTAGATACAGTGGAACCCCACTTATCCAGAGCCCAGATACCCAGAAACCATGCCTACCGGACGATATTTTTATGAAACAAAATACATACTACCGGGGGTACATAAAATGTAGAAATCCGGGTCCCTGGATCAGGGCAGTGAATTTCAATTAAGGACGGTGCAAAATACACAATCACAAATTCATATAGAGTTTCCACCTCACAAAATTCATTCGTGCATGATATATTTCTTGATGACATTTTTCATACATGATTGAGTTCCTCTTTATATGATTAATCAACCTCAGCTTTCATATCGTAGAGGTAAATATGGTTCTAATCATGCTAATTAATGTTTATGTGTGGCAGGTTTCTTCAACCTCTCCGTCACAACTGTATAAAAAAATAATTGTACAATAATAGTATCTAAACTAGGCAAAACATGCATTTCTTCCAACATCAGCTGTTTCAATTATAAACGGCGTTGTCACAATACCATTCAGGTCTGTGCGACACAATGTATTTCATATATTAAACATTCCAAAATTTTCTTTAGTTCAGATTTCAAATTTTGAACTGATAATTTCCAGGGCATTTTCTGGAATGTTAGTCGACAGTGCCATAATGCTTGAGAAAGCTGCTTTCCAATTAATAATAATGCCATTTCATTGGTTGATCAATGTTTGTGAAAGGTCGTTCTGATGTGTCCTGTACTGGGATGTCCTCAGACTTTCGTGCAGCAGCAGTGAGCACAATCTCATTAAAATCAGATCTCAGTTCTCGCTACTGCTAAACAAAGATCTGAAGACATCCCATTAGGGGTCACGTCAGAACGTCCTTTCATCCGACCAATCAAGGCGTCGCTTACAAGATCATGAAAGTGACAGTCAGAATGTGGTTTCTAATCACACAACCTCGAAAACTTTAACACGTGGTATTCCGAACGATAGTTACAGGTTTAACGACTGAATCCATATGATCTAGACCATCTATTAGCCATTCCAGAATGTTCTTTTGTTTAGGTTTCAAATTTGTAATCCAGAATTTGTCAAAATATGTTTCGAAGCGTAGTTGCCAATTTGAAATTAGTGCTGTAAAGCACAAAAAGCTGCCTTCTGATTGGTCATTCCATTGGTCGGTCAAAGTTCGCGCAAGGTCGGTCTGACTTGACCCGTAATGGGATGTTCTCTGATCTTTGTTTAGCAGAAGCGAGAACTAAGGTCTGATTTTAATGAGATTGCAGTGAGCATGAAGATCTGACTTAAATCAGATTGTAAACAAACCAAATGAATTGAGAAATAGGTAGGCCTATTGTATTTCATGTAAATTTTCAATGCATGCATGCATGCATCAGTGAATCGTGAGACCCTAGTAATAGTAATCATGTCAAAACATATCACCATGATCATAGACAAGTGTCTTTACTGTAAGATGGATGTCCTCATCCTTACCTGCATCGTGTTGTTCATACAGTGTGTCATGTTGTTAAACAGATCAAAGAACTCCAGCGTGCTTTCCGCAAGAGTTGAATTGACTGTGGCATTCACACTCTCTTCAGTTACGCTTGCAAAACATTCTGGAAATATTTAATGTTTATGTAAATCATCAAAAACACAATGTTTAGGCAATACAGTATTATCAGATTATGTCACAATACCACCTGGGTTTAATTAAGAACTGAATTAGATATTTTTTTGCGTTTATGGAAGTATAAACGTAAAAACTGTGTGCACATTTTACATAGATCTGCTACATGTACGCAGATTTATGCAAAGTGTGCACTGTTTACTTCGGTTATACCTCCTCCATAAATACAAAAAAATACTGAAGTCAATTCTTATAAATAAATCTGTTAACAATGGTAACTTCACAGACTGCTTATTTAATCATTACACAGAAAAAGGTTGACAAAAACACAAAATCAGCAGCCCCACCCATTCTATTATCAGCCAATCAGGCCTAAGCAAAAACACAAAATAAATTGCTTGGAATCACTTGTAATTCATGTATAGCAGCTTGACCAGTATTTCAGTCTTATCATGGGTGTTAAATGCCATGACCAACTGAAAATCTTTTCAAACTAAAGTCCTGTCGGAAATGCTAGAAGAAAGACTGTTGCTTTTTAATCATGAGTAATTACTGATCTACATTCCTGTGGTAAAGTATTTCAGTCCCAAGGAGTCCTATTGATAACTTTACAGGAGAAAATCCAAACGAAAAGAATATCCAATGAGGGAAGTCTGAAACGGACCATAGAAATGTGTGCATGCGACTATGTTATAATAATAATATTGTAAATTTTACATTAAATTGTATATTTATCCTATCTCAAACTGTGCATTTCTTCCGTCTTCTTTCGACCCTTATTGTCTTGAACAAAGTTTCTAGCTTCTGAAAACAATTCATCCGAACACATCCCAGCATCACCATGGTCACCACCCAAGCAAATGGGTCATGCACTGTAATCTCGTGTGTTGTGAACTCACATGACTGAATCACCTGATCACCCCTACCACATCATTCTCTTTTTTGGAGCTGACAGGCTAGAGGAGCTGTGATGCAGGGATGGTTGGGTGGGCATATAGAGTGTGAGAGAGAACAAGTGTATAAATATACAATTTAAGGTAAAATTTACAAATTTTTAAACTTATCCTATCTGACACAATGCAGTTATCCCACGGTTGGACGGTGGGGCGCAGGTACACTAGCCTGTAGAGACAACAACCGTGAGCCATACAGGAAGGAGCGGGTGCTACACAGTGATACAAATAAAGAATCTATAATACTGCCTCGTGTTGTAAAGATGACAACTCGTGAGTGGGTACAAACACCATAACAGGTGATGGGATCCCTTTATGCTAGTTGAATGTCACAACATGAAATCGGGCTTAACATTTTGTGGTTTCGCAGGACATCCTTACACGAACAACGGCCTAGTTTTGAATAGAGATCTATTCAGCATATGACTTATAACCAATAGGGAGGGGTCTCCAGGCCCCGAAGCCTCCAGATAGTTACGGAGCGCTCTAACTGGGCATAAATAGATGTCTTCATGGTCATCTGGGCTCAGGATGGACGCCACCAAGGGGATGGTAAACAAACGGTCTGGCTGTCCCGGAAGCTGATTCTTTGACAAAGACCTTCCCATTCTGTATTCTCTCAAACTGGACCCTGTTAACATCAAGAGTGTGGATATCACTCACTCTAGCAGCTGTGGCAAGGGCCAAGAGAAAATATGTCTTACGGGTGATCAACTCGAAGTCTTTCTCAGCAAGTGGTTCATACTCTGCAGAAGTCAAATGGTGGAGGATGACATTGAGATCCCAAGTGGGTGGCTGGTTGTAGTGGTAATGACGAAGTTGATCACAGCGAGATACGTAGCCAAATTGGATCCTTAAGCTTCTGAGTAGGTTCTCCCACAAGATGGCCAGCGCCTTGTTGTCCCATGCCTGGGAGAGACCAACTGTGGTAGCTGATCGTTGAGCCTGGTTGCAAAGAGGTCGACTTCTGGGCTTAGGTGAAGTTGGCAAATCCAGGGAGTCGGCTAGGGCATTGTTGGTCCTGGGAATGTGCCTCAATGTTTGTTGTTGATATACCATATGACTGATAGATTGTCCAACTGCATCATGAGGTGTGACGCATGAAGAAGTTCTGCCCAGTGGGACACCACCACAATGACCGCTTTGAATCTGAGGTTGTTGATATGGAGTCGCTTGTCTACGATGGACCAGCGTCCTGATGCCTGTAGATCGTGGAAGTGCAATCTTCAGCCAATGGTCGATGTACTGACGGAGTGTTGGGTCGGGACGAACGGACGCAAAGAGACTCTGGCTCAAACATTCGACAACCCCAACACCACTGAAGATGCGGATGCAATGAAATTGGTAGGAGATTAGGACCTGGCTACTGTCTTTCTGGAGGTAGGGCTTGAAGTTGAAGTTGACCTCTTTGAGTGCTTGTGCCTATGTTAGAAGACCTAGCAGCTGTTGTCATTGGCCTAGACATGGGGGCTGTCTGAGTGCAAACAACACGAAACGTATCTTCAACCACCTGTCCGGCAAAACGAACATCATGCCCAGTCTGGTGTCGCACAGAGCCCTCATGAACTGGATCTGTTGAGTAGGAGTTGTCTTGGGCTTTGCATCGTTGACAAGCCAGTGTAGCTGATGAAGAAGTTGCAGTGTAAACTCTAGATGTTGCAAGAGGATGTCTGGATCTGCAATAGTTGATGTACGGCTCGAAGATGATCCCTCGATGTGCAGGAACTTCATGATCGGCTTGGAAATACGGGCCAAAGACATTGCAAATGGGAGCTGCTTCCATTGGCAGTGGCAGTCTTGGAAAATGAACTGGAGGAAGTGTCTGTGCTCCCAATGGATGGGTATGTGTAGATACCCATCTTGAAGGTCGAGACTGACCATTGGCCGGATGATCGTTTGATGGAGCCTGATGGACATTATTTGAAAATGCCGCAGATCTTGAAGATACAACGCGATGAACATTTTCAGGTTCAGCTTCATGTTGTGTTTCTTCGGAACTAGGAAAATCAGTGAGTAAAATCCTGGGTTACCTTGGTCTGACAGTGCTGGACGCACCTTAGCCAATAGGCTGTTTCATATATGCATGACAATATGAACATTTTTAAAGTTTATCACAATTTTACCTGTAAAAGTAACTACTTAGGGTAATCACAGTGTCAGTAAGGATAGGCTAGATTATGTAGATTTGCCTTATTTTGATAGATGCTATTTACATAGCCCTATGATTCGTATTTAATAAATGAAGACACAAAAGCACTTTTCTTGCATTTCTTGCACTGTACTTCAGCCTTGAGACTCACTCTCTCCCATTACATGCTAGACCATGTTAATGGTGACTAAGGGGGTACATTAATACAGAGAGTATTTTTATGCCTTCATCAATATCAGGATGGCGGACACCAGAACCAGGCTTCACAAATTGAACCCATGTGAGGAATCAAACGTGACAAGCAACCGCTTTAACTACCAGGTTAACCCAATGTCCTTCACTCACTGAATAACCATATTGTTTTATGTTAACGTTATAAAGTTAGGTGGGGTGTGCAACAGAGGGTGTTTTAATACTGCAATGGTATTGCAGAAACTCAAAACACTTTTATGATATAATTGCCACATACCTACCAATGATACAAGTATTTCAATAGTTCATGTGTGTTCAACAGTATTGTGAACGTTTGACAAGTGTCTTTTCTACCCTTCTAGAGGATTTTAGGTATTATTTGTGATGAAACACAGCCTAAAGGACTGGTCATTTATCATAAGGGGTGGAGAGCCGGTGGGATTGGTCTAAGCACTGTATCATGTGTTGCTGCCCCCACCCACCATTTCATGTATCAACCCCCCCACCCCACAAAAAAAATAAATAAAAATAAATATACATATACTTGCAACATTTTGTCATCATCATTACCCACCTCCCCCCAAATAATGTTGTTAAAATTTATTTAAAAAATGTGAAAAAAGTAGAAGCCTCAGAAATTTCACTGGTCCCAAATATTTCAACCATGAAATATCACATCATGCAAAGAAGATGAAGAAGGGCTAAGAATAACTGCTACCTCCAGTCTGGTTTGAATTTGTGTTTGTTTTGTCGTGAACCTTTGTACACAATGAATAGAATGAGTAATACATGCACACCATGACAAGCAAACCTACGTGGACAGTAAGCTGTAGTCCACACGTTGTTCATGTTCTGATACACCAGAGTGAGCACCTGTACCCGGTCAGCCGTCAATAACTCCTTCACACAGTTTGCATCCGTGGTCTAAACACAGTAAAGAGAATTAATTATGTGAACATGATCCAAGTAACTGGTAATGCAATGTCATTGTACTCAATGATTGAGTTTTTTTGTTTGTTTGTTGTTTAACACCACACTCTGCAATATTCCAGCTATATGACGGCGGTCTGTAAAAAATAGAGTCTAGGCCAGACAATCCAATGATTGATATCATGAGCATCGATCCACGCAATTGGGATACGATGACATGCACCAACCAAGTCAGCGAACCTTTTTCGCCTCTTACCACAAGTATTGTGACCTTTTACAGCAAGCATTGGTTGCTGAAGACTTATTCTACCCCGGATCTCCACGGGTCCTCAATGACTGAGAATGATAGTGGATAATAAACATAACCTATCAATACACAATGCCATTTAGAAAGTGGTCAAATGTAACAAATGTTATATTATTTTCTAAGAAAGTGTTATCCCAGATATAACATTTGTTACTTTAAACATAATCTCAACCAAGTATATATTGATAAAAAAAATCAAAACTTCTTCAGCAAGAATCACAATAATATTACTTTGATTGACTAGCATTGATATTTTTTATATCAATAGACACTCAGTGAGTTGAAGTGAAGTGAAATGAAATGGAGGCTATACATTGCATTCGCGATTATTTCACTCAAAATAGTGACATGCATGTATATGTGTGTTTGGTTGCTTGCCCTTGTCAAGACTTGTGTGCTAGCCCACTTAGATACCTGCAGCAGTTTAACATTGATACCCTGATCAGACATTGTATACACAATCCGAGCCAACCAGTCTTTGTATTATTCTCTCAGTGTCGAGTGCCAGGCAGGGTAACAACAAGTGCCATCTTTTAAAACCTTTTGGTATGACCCTCTATCCATCACACCACTGAGGCAAGTATGTATCAGGATGTATAGGCAGGAATCAAGCCCTTGCTCTACAATGTCTAGTACCCTATTCACATGCACAACATTTACTCACATAAGTAATTTTACATATGTGTAACTACACATACATGTGTATACATAGTATATGTAAATGTACTATGTGTTCACATGAAAATCAACTTAGGTGTGTAAATAAAGTATGTAAATGGTATAAGGCACACATATTCATAAGTTTTTTCACCACTTTTAACATAAAACAGGATGTTTACCAATCAAAGTTGAATGAGAAGAGAGTTACTTTACCGAAATCTTCACATGAAGCAACATGTGATTGATTTAATTTGTACACAAAGTTTTAACGCCTTGAAACTCAAAGAAAACACCATCCAACCAGCTCTGGATGTCCACAAAAAGGTGCATGTGAGTGGGGTATAAGATGTCATGATGTAGCTGGAATATTGCCGACTGTGGCAGCAACAACATTCACAGACCCATACTTACCAAATCTGTATAAACTGTTGATGCCCGCTCATAGTAAGTGACACAAGTTTCACAAAATCGAAATGGTCTTGCATTTTCGACAAGGCATCTTGTGAAAAGTGAGGATTCTTTGGCAAAATGTTCAAGGAAAGCTTTACATGTCTGCACAATACCACTGGAGGAAGAGTTACTTATGTCTTCAGTGTAGGACAAACTGCCTTCCACACCATTAGGGTTGACAAAATTCCATAACGAGTCTTCTAATTCAGAATTATCTAATGTCTCTGACCATTGAAATTTGTCACACAGCATTATTACTGTAACCAAGAGTATGCAAGTCCTAATATTCATTGTTGAGAGATACAATTTTCAACAAATAATCTTAAGTACGAATATGATACTAAAATTCGTTCGCTGGCATGATACAGCACAATTTTATACAAATAGGATGGAAATTCTTGTGATCTGAGATCATGTGATGATTTTGTTTCCTTCCTGGCTTCACAATTTCTCTCAGCGTGCATCAGCGGCATACAGCCATCACCGTAATCACCAAGGAGCTAGAACTACACCATGTAGTAATAGTGACATTCACTGATTAAGCTTCAATTGTCAATCATTCATGATTTAAACATATCGCTATCAACTGTCCTAAACTGACTAACAGTGTGTCAACCCCCTTCTCCTAACATAACATAAACACGGAAGTCGACATCACGCGCTAATAGGGCTAAGCTCCGCACCGAGTTACTCGTGATCGCACGCTGTGGACGAGTATGCTCAGCGTATGCAGACATTACATTGAAAGGGATCGCAACACTAAAATGGATTTCAACATTTGTCAAGCTGCTCTGTCGGTGATAATTTTGGACTAAGGGATTTATAAGTATTGAATAAGAAATATATTTGTTTTGTCAATTAGTTCAAAGTGTGTTTTTATATTTTGGTTTAACGTGAAATGTGTTTTTATGTCTTTATTCCTTGAATTCCATCACGAATATAAGACGTTTCACCACAAGAATAAGAGGGAGACATTTTTTTAGAATTACGCACGCTTTTGCGAATGGGTAGTTATCTTTCCCGAAATGTTGCACAATCATACACGCTGAGATTTTATACATGTATATCATATTGAAGATCCGGGGTAGGATAGGTCTTAAGCAACCCATGCTTGCCGTTACATTGTCGTAAGAGGTGACTAACGGGATCGGATGGTCAGGCTCGCTGACTTAAATTAGTTGACGCATGTCATCGTATTCAAATTGCGTTGATCGACGCTCATGTCAACCACTGGATTATTTACAGACCGACGTCATTTAGCTGGAATGCGGCGTTACAACAACAAACAACAATATCATTAAAAAACCCGACCGTAGCCTTACTGGCTGGATATCATGTTTAGAAGTATGAATATTTATGTATTGTTGTCCTATAAATGATGGAACCACACCAGTGCTGCAACCTGCATACCCGACAATTAGAATACCCTTTTGAGTGAGTGAGTGAGTGAGTGAGTATGGTTTTACGCCGCTTTTAGCAATATTCTAGCAATATCACGGCGGCTAAGACTAGAAATGGGCTTCAAACATTGTACCCATGTCAGGAATCGAACCCAGGTCTTCGGCGTGACGAGCGAACGCTTTAACCACTAGGCTACCCGAACGCCCCTTTACTCTTTCGAAGTAGACTTTGACTGAAGGTCTATACAAAGTTGAACAGCTCGCAGCTTTACCAGAAAATTCTCACAGCGGACAGGATAGTGTCTATGCTTTCTCAAGGGAGAAGAGGAACACTCCCAACTATACAGCATGGCACAAGACCTAAATTACCTCCATAACAGAGGTTTGTCTGGTCCAGACTCGATTGTTCACAAACCGCCGTCATATAGCTGGAATATTGCTGAGTGCGGCGTTAAACAACAAACAAACCAAGCCATGACAGAAGTGACGGTATATGAGGGAACTGCTCAGAAAATTTTCAAATTTATCCATATACGAGGAACAACATTTAAGGGAACCCCTGTCATTTCAGGTTAATCTTGGTATCGAGACACAGTTACTGAACGCGGATTCGCTCAAACTTTGGACATCGCACGTGTATAACACAGTGTTCGAAATACCTGCCTGCCCGACCGTCCGAGACGGGTTGATTTCAACTCGGGCTGCCAGATTTTCAAATCCCCCTGCCCGACGGTCGGTTTATATTTCATATGTTATGATAAGCATTAATTCACATGTAAAGATGAATGATAAAATGTAACCAAAAAGAAACCCCGTTAGCTTTTAGACAACCCTAAAATTTAGCGATGCGCTTATGCTACAACGTCTACAGTGGACCAATGCCGTGCAATATACACGACTGGAAAACTCCCTTCTCCGCCGTGAGACGCGAACGCTGATTGGTCTATTAGTTTCCTACACAACAAACCTGGTTCCCGGTCTCAGTTCCGCTACGCTACATTGTATATTGCTCCCCAAAATGATAACTCTACACCATAGTGCGGGTATCGTTTCTCAAAAGATATATCAAATATCGATTTAAATTCGATTGAAAGTTTTAATTAAATTATCCTGAGAAACATATGATTATAGTGGGCAGGCAGGTTTTGGTCAGGCCTGGCAAGTATTTCAGCTAGCCAGTCCTGTGGTCTGGCTGAATTTTCTGGGAGTTTCATACCCTGGTATAACATGACGTCAATGCCGTTGAAGCTGGCCGATCGTTTTTATAACGAAAAACAAGAGGTGGCGGGTAGAAAAGGAACTCTTTCCTAAAAAAATAACTTATTATCTTGAAATTTCACGATCTTTATCTTGAAATTTAACTCAGTATGCATCTTGAAATTTCAACTTCGTATCTTAAAAAGTTAAGAAAAAATAAGAATACGAAAAAAGTACTCACCGTGTGCTTCCGTTCCAAATACATGCACGCGATTATCACATCTTCCATAGCAGTTTGTTATGTATAGGTATTTTTGTTGAGTAACTTTCCTGACTGATGACGTTGTATATGACAAATGCATCCATAAAAGTGGGTATAAATGACACATTCATATTAACAGTAATGGTTTTATGTTTTTTGCTTCACATTTTGTCACCTCAAACGCATGTCATCATCTTCAAAAGATTGCACAATATTTATTACTGACACAAGGACATGACGTCAGAGCATCGTTTAGTGGAAAATATGTTTTTGCGACTTGACGTCAGTCAAGCGGTCATCCTGGATTATCCAGCGTATCATAGTCCAGCTTGTATAATCATACGCTGGATAATCGATGATGTCAGGAACCACATCTACCCAGAATGTAGGGGGTGTAACACTCTCCTAACCAGAGTTCCATGAAAGCATGTCTGTCCCAAAAAAATAATTCTAGTTTACTTGCAAAAATCAATTAGAGACCTCTTAGTCTTAGGTGGTTTCGGGTTTGTGCAAAAAGTAACTAATGTAAGTCCGACATTAAGTGTATTTGCACGCTGTGGTATTTGCATGCTTGAACCCTTATACAGCCGATGCAAAAACAAGACATGTTGATATTTCAACAAAGAATTAATTTCATAAAGCAAAAACTGCTGTGCCATTGGTTAAGTTTAATTTTCATTGGTGAGCATCTGTTGTATTTTCCAGGAAGATTTTGACCAATAAACTGAAAAATATTATCATACATTCAATGTCCATGGTTATGACATTATATTCAATATCAATTCAGTATCATTGCAGATACCACAAATATAAAAAAAAAACCACTTTCTTTTGTATGGCATTATCCACACTTAAAAAAACAATAAATAAGCTTAAGATTTAGTCATTAATTTAATTCCTAGGTCATGATTACTCTCAAAATATTATACATTCTTGGCAAATATTCCCAAAAGCCAAGCCCGAACACATAACTGTGTCAGTGTGAGGCTGTGTGTTCCGGATGACCTGACGCAGCGTGAATGGAAATTTCTGGCCAAGCCCTCGAGGTCATATCCTTTGTTTAGCCGCTCCCGTAAAACCCGACTAACACGTGTGACTGGTTCATCAACATGACTTTAATGTGATGACTGTGTTGTGATAAGCTGGGACGTTTGTCTGTATTCGTCATCGAAGTGTTGGGCAATGCGGACCAGAGTTGCTTGATACCATAGGCATTTAAGGAAGCGAATAATATTTGATCACAGGAGCTTTCTATTATAAGGTACTCTGATAATTCAAGATCTCCGGGTGTTTAAAAGACACATACCATCGCTACTCTCAACATGACTGCAGCCATAATCGCGATAGTGTTGTCCCTATGCCTACATTCAATGGTTCTAGGTAAGTAAACGAACGTTTTAATGAAATTCACATAGTACCAGCTCGTGTGGTTAATTTATCAGAGCAAGACAGAGACAATTTACTTGTCTCTGAGCTTGAGTCAAGAATCCCTTGATTCATTTATCCAGTGCTATGTGTTTTACATGTATATGCTTCGATTATCCAGTCATGTAAGGTTTGCCTTTTTTCATTTTTCATTTTTATCAGCGGTCCGGGCGTCGCATGATCATGATCATGATAAAATAATTATGGTTTATACATATTATACATATATTATACATTTACGTTTCATGGGCACAGATAAGGGCGGGGGGTGGGGTGGGGTGGGGGGTGGGGTGTGGTGTGTGGGTGTGGGTGTGGGTGTGGGTGTGGGTGTACTTGTACTAGTCCGGACTGATGCCGATTTATAGTGCTAGCTCACTGAGATACCATGCCGCAGTTTAACATGAATACCCCACTCAGACACAGCATACTGACTCCGAGCCGACCAGTCCTTGTTTTAGCCCCTTAATGCCGAGCGCCAGACAGGGTAACAACAAGTAAATGCCGAGTGCCAGACAGGGTAACAGCAAGTAAATGCCGAGCGCCAGACAGGGTAACAAGAAGTACTATCTTTTAACGTCTTTTGGTATGACGCGGCCGGGGATCAGACCCCGGACCTTCCGCTCTCCGGGCGGACGTTCTACCACTAGACCACGGAGGCGGTCTGCTATTTAGAACCTGCACCAAGACGTCGCTCCTAATTGTGATAAAGAAGTTGTTCATCCATATATCGACCCGTGAGGATTCCGGGGTAGAATAGGTCTTCAGCAACCCATGCTTGCCGTAAAAGGCGACTATGCTTGTCGTAAAAGGCGACTAACGGGATCGGGTGGTCAGGCTCGCTGACTTGGTTCATGCATGTCATCGATCCCAATTGCGTGGGTTGATGCACACGATATTAATCACTGGGATGTCTGGTCCAGACTCGATTATTTACAGACCGCCGTCATATAGCTGGACAATTGCTGAGTGCGGCGTTAAACAACAAACCAACCAACCAAATCATCCATATATCCTATCCTTACATAATAACGTTTTGGCAATGAGAAGGTAAGATTTGACTTCATTTAAAGGTTAAAGCGGATGTAGTTAAGACACTGAGTTCTCTATTCCAGGTCATGAGATGGAGACAAAACAAGTATGTACCTCCAATTCCTCGACGACATTTAATCTCTCCTGCTCGGAACAAGAGATGCTGTATTTCGCCAGTTTGGACATCCGGAATATGACCGACAACTGTGAGCGAGGTTCTTGTAGCTCAGGGTACTCCAGTACCGATGACGTCCAATGTATGGGGGTCTCATCATGTGAGAAGACTGTGAATAAGTCAATGATCCAGACATTATGTGAGAGCGTCATCAAATATCAACCTACGATATCATATGAATGTATACATGGTAGGTGTCTTCCGCATATTTATTTCATCCCAGATTGCACATTTCTGTTTCGTTTACATACATACATTCATTCTATTACTTACGGGGCGATGGGGTAGCCTAGTGGGTAAAGCGTTTGCTCGTCACGCCGAAGACCCGGGTTCGATTCCCGACATGGGTACAATGTATGACGCCCATTTCCCGGTGTCCCTCGCCGTGATATTGCTGGAATATTGCTAAAGGCGGCGTAAAACCATACTCACTCTCACTGTTACATACGATATCATAAGTTGTCCACCGATCTCGAAGGACATGTGTTGTTGTTGGTAGTGGTTGTAAAATTACCATTGTTCAACACCAGTTTATTTAATCACTGGACTTAACAAATAATATATGCTGGGGAGATGTGGTTCCTGACATCCTCGATTATCCAGCGTGTGATTATACAAGCTGGACTATGATACGCTGGATAATCGAGGATGCCTGACGTCAAGTCGCAAAAACATTTTTTCCACAAAACGATGCTCAGACGTTGTCTGCTTGTGGCAGTAATTATTATTGTGCAATCTTTTGAAGATGATGACATGCGTTTGAGGTGACAAAATGTGAAGCCAAAAAAACATTACTGTTAATATGAATGTGTCATTTATACCCGTTTTTATGGATGCATTTGTCATATACAACGTCATCAGTCAGGAAAGTTACTCAAACAAAATTACCTATACATAACACACTGTGTTGTATGGAAGATGTCGTTATTGCGTGCATGTATTTGGAACGGGTTCACGCGGTGAGTACTTTTTTCGTATTCTTTTTTCTCTCTTAACATTTCAAGATACGAAGTTAAAATTTCAAGATAAAGATCGTGAAATTTCGAGATAATAAGTTAACATTTTAGGAAAGAGTTCCTTTTCTTCCCGCCACCTGTTGTTTTTCATTATAAAAACGATCGGCCAGCTTCAACGGCATGCACAGCATGTAAAACACTTGCGATGTCTAAAGTTTGAGCGAATTTGCTATCCGCGTTCAGTAACTGTGTCTCGAAACAAAGATTTACCTGAAATGACAGGTGTTCCCTTCAATATTGTTCCTCATATGGATAAATTTGAAAATTTTCTGAGCAGTTCTCTCATATACCGTCACTTCTGTCATGGCTTGGTTTGTTTGTTGTTTAACGCCGCACTCAGCAATATTCCAGCTATATGACGGCGGTCTGTAAATTATCGAGTCTGGACCAGACAATCCAGTGATTGATATCATGAGCATCGATCCACGCAATTGGGATACGATGACATGCATCAAACAAGTCAGCGAGCCTGACCACCCGTTCCCGTTAGTCGCCTTCTACGACAAGCATAGTCGCCTCCTATGACAAGCATAGTCGCCTTTTTACGGCAAGCATGGGTTGCTGAAGACCTATTCTACCCCGGATCTTCACGGATCGGGTATGTGGTGTGATGTTCCCTGTGTGTGAGCCCATGTACCCCGAACCATGTGCCACGAGGGATTTATCACACCAGCATTCATGAGTTATGCATGAGTTATTTGAGCGTCTGTAGTTTGGGTCATGACAATGAATAGGGGTCATCACTTCAGCTCTGATCGCGTTTACGGTCTCTGTACTCTTATTGACGCATGTATGCTTAGCAAAGAAGTCATCACATGTTTATTACCGTTGAAATCGGATACTCGAGTCAAGGTCTGGTCGGTGTAGCCTGTCTCACAATCCCAGAACCATATTATTTTCCCTTCCGCCCACCCCTTTCAGTAATGCCAAATCACGAAATGGAGCAAGTCTAGACTTTCCACAGGTACTGAATCTCTCTCCTCACTGCTCCTTTTCAATCTGTTTGTTTGTTGTGTTACGCCGTTGGAGTTAACTTGTTTCTATCAAAAGTATGAAATTTAAGAGACTAAGCGTAAGTCTAGGTTAGTGATTCATGAACACATGCCTCATTCGTGACCAACTCGTGTTATTCCGGGACAAGCCGAATAGCGACTCGTGCCCCTCTCATGGCCATGTTTGCGACCGGGTTCCGTCTTAGCGCAAACGGGCATACCTAAAACAATTGTCAACTCAGTGCGTGATGGTTGACATATATTTCCCCATATATTATATATATTTCAGATGCAATTTAAAGCAGATCGGGGCGTGAGTAATTATACAGTATGATTGAACACATTTAACTGTGTCTTGGGTATATTTTAAGATGCAAGACATATGTAAAATCAAAAATTATTTCTGAGGGATTCTTTGACGAAGTACTTGAAATCATACGCGCATTCTGATTGGTTTGTCGTATTTTCGCACATTACATTCATCGATAGGGGGACGAGTCTTCTTGCAGGTTGCGGAAAGGGGCGAGTGGTGACGAATGCACATGCCTATGACATAGTTGGAATCGTAGTCTGATTTGAGCAGAGCAGCAGTCTACAATATGAAAAGGGCCATGATTGTTTTCTTATTTCGACGTCAGCAATATAGATAAATGTCACGGCTGTATGTAAATAATATATAGTCATGGCCAAGCAAACCAGTGGTTGATAGCATGTGACGCATCAATTACAAAATTGGTGAATATTTGACTTGCCTTTGCATGTGTTTGTGACGGGTGCTACCGGTGGGGCAGGATACTCTCACCTTTTCGCGAACACCTGGAATCAACCAGTGGTTGAAAGCATGATCAACGATCATCAATGTCAGGTTTGCTTGTAGACAGTTTCAGTTGAGTTTTCGTTTCATGTTTTTTCATCGTAATAATATTACTGGGTCCAGCTCATGTACCACCAAATCCCCGTCACACAAAAATAACCATAACCCTTAATGCGATCAGTGAAGGTATTTCTTTATGTTCACAGAGTGTTTTTATCTGAGTATTTGAGACGTGGAATTATTACTGTGTGGATTCTCAAAACCTCAGAGGATTTGCTCGAAGTTTTGCAAGTTTAGAAAGGAATCAAGTTGAATGATGTCAAAACATTGATTTTGAGTTTTTCAACGTTGTACACTGCTCGACAAACGTAGGGGTAAACCATCCCTTGTAACATATTTTGTTACATAAATGCGAAGTTCTTTCGTCTTTTGGAATGTTAAGCCAGCGGTCTGTTTCATGTGGGCATCTGTGGTTACATGTCCTAAATTTAAGTAAAGGTGACAAAATAGATTTGTTTAGTAAAATATATCTTTCAAAGCAGATATGCGGTTTGAACTGCTGACAGAGAGTGCCTTTTGAGCGAGATCTCATCTGACCAATTCATTCTTGAAGAAATTGGTCTTTCAAGATGCAATGACATGACTGCCTAACCACTTCTTGGAAGTGAAGATTACTAAATATGCTGCACAAACCACACGAATTTAATATACTTTCAATTTGTTCCAGTCATTTGTTACATTTTACATTTTGTTAGCATAACATATATAGAGTTGTAAACTATTTTAGAAAGTTTTGTTTTACTGTTTTATGCCAGAAATGTATCATTATTTTGTAAATATTTTGGCATTGTGCCAAATTCATTGTAAACCGTGAAATGAGAAGTGCAGTTCCGTAGCCCAATTGATAACTTTATATAGTTGCAGTTTCCCGCTTATTTTGAACTTTTCGTATTTTTTTAGAATCTTATGATAGTATTGGGGTAACCCTAACATCAACTGCAGAAAACAGACAGTCAAGAGGGTGATTAATATTAATAAAAGTTAACCACACTTCATATTGAGTGGGGGCACGGGTGGCCTAGTCGTCTAAGGCTCCGCGATTCGCTGTGCAGAGTTGCGTCCCTTGGGCCCGCCTATGATTGTGGGTTCGAATCCCGGTTCGCCCCGATTATGTTTCTAGGTTTGTCAGCACCATACCCGTGCTCGTGGGTTTCATCGAAGTGGTAAACGTCCTAGACCTGCATCACTTTGGGCTTTCCTCTCACATTAAGCTGACACGCCGTGATATAACTGGAATACTGTTAAAAGCGGCGTTAAACCCAACTCACTCACTCACTCATATTGAGTGACTGTGGTATTCATCGGGTCAAGGTGAATGAACATTTGTTTCAATAATATCAATAATATATAATTCAATAATTAGCATGTAAAGTCGTCAGAAACAGTTTATAATCCGAAAGAGTTCTGGGACCCCATGCATTTAACAACGGCTTTCAGCCAATCAGAATGCAGCACACATTCCCATTCGCGCTCTCTAACAAAATTTGAAAGAGCGTCATGCGACTCTTGCTCAGAAGTTGCTTGATCAAGGTAACAACATTCAAGGCCTCAGTAAAGCTTTCAAAAATGTTTATGGTAGACATGTGGAGTACATTTCCAAATGTGGCGCATCAATGACAAAAATGTTGTCCGATGCAATTCCTATTTTGACTTATACCATATGTTCCAGTGTTTTTTCAGGTGAACATTTGGCTTACTTTTGTATGTGTTTGTGATGGGTGCTACCAGTGGGGCAGGATACAATCACCTTTTCGCGAACACCTGGTATCAGCAGTATTTGATAGTGATTCATGAACAGAGTTGCGTCCCTTCGAATCCCGGTTCGCCCCGATTATGTTTCTAGGTTTGTCAGCACCATACCCGTGCTCTTGGGTTTCACCGAAGTGGTAAACGTCTGAGACCTGCATCACTTCGGGCTTTCCGCCCACATTAAGCTGACACCCCGCGATATAACTGGAATAGTGTTAAAAGCGGCGTTAAACCCAACTCACTCACCCACTATTGGATATGGAAAGGGTTTTGTGTCTTTAGTTGACAGTCACACTCTCATTCGTCTAACAGTCACACAATGTTGTATTCCAGGTACTCCGGTGGATATCTGTACAACGACAGGAGTTGTATCTGGTGATGATATGATGCTGCATCTTGCATCCCCGAACTTCCCAGGAAACTCAAACTCAACGGATACCAACAAGACCTGCACGTGTGACCTCGCGGGGTCAGACATGACTGTACAGATCCTCGTGGGCAAATACGGCAATCGTGATCCCGATACGGAAAAATTCAACTTGACATCCGGCTCTGAAACATATTTGCCGACGGTACCTAACTCAACTATTGCACATCTGATACTAGGTGTGGAAGCAATGAAAAATAAGAACAGCATAACCTTGAATTATAATACGATAGAGAAGGAGGGAAAGGACGGCGACTACGTCTGGCTTAGAGTTAAAGGTAAGAAGTGTGTACGCATATATATATGGTGGTATCACCAATTACACGTTATGAATATACCCAACTGCAAATGTTCTGACCAATGCTGATGACATTGTCACAAATGAGGTGAAGATCAAAACGTCGCATTCGTGACCAACTCGTGTTATTCCGGGACAAGCCGAATAGCGACTCGTGCCCCTCTCATGGTCATTTTTGCGACCGGGTACCGTCTTAGCGCAAACGGGCATACCTAAAACAATTGTCAATTATTTGAGTTATGGTTCACATATATTTCCCCATATATTTTATATATTTAGATGCAATCTAAAGCACATCTGGACATGCGGAATCATACAGTATGATTGAACACATTTAACTGTGTCTTGGGTATATTTTTAGATGCAAGACATATGTAAAATCAAATAATATTTCTGAGGGATTCTTTGTTGAACAACTTGAAATCATACGCGCATTCTGATTGGTTTGTCGTATTTTCGCACATAACATTCATCGATAGGGGGACGAGTCTTCTTGCAGGTTACGTAAAGGGGCGAGTGGTGACGAATGAAAACCTCGGTCTCGGTGAGAGGTTTGATGGGTAACCGCGTCCGGCACCTTGACTCCTGTTATTTTGGAGGTCCTGCCCCACACAGGGAGTGGGAGTGGGAGTGGGAGTGGGAGTGGGAGTGGGAGTGGGAGAGGGAGTGGGAGAGGGAGTGGGAATGGGAGTGGGAGTGGGAGCGGAGATTGTAGAAACGACATATTAAAGGAGTTGTCTCCCTTAGTTTTAGCTCGACGCGAATATTTTCATATTGTATGAATGCTTCACTAGGTTCCTTTCTGCAGGCAAGTGGCGTGTCACGTGGTATTTTTTTTTTTTTTTTTTTACACCACTCTCAGCAATACTCCAGCTACTTGTCGACAGCCTGACAATAATCATGTCTTGACCAGACATTCAAGTGATTGACATAATGAGCATGTCAGTGAGCCTGTCCACCTGATTCTGACCACGGACATAGGGACCAACTCTAACCCGGAATGCTGATTGGTTTTCTTTGACTATCTGTTCCTTCCAAACTTCCTTCCTTTAGAGGGTAACGACGAGTGAGTGAGTGAGTTGGGTTTAGCGTCGCTTTTAACAGTATTCCAGTTATATCACGGTGTGCCGCTTCATGTGGGAGGAAAGCCCGAAGTGATGCAGGTCTCAGACGTTTACCACTTCGGTGAAACCCAAGAGCATGGGTATGGTGCTGACAAACCTAGAAACATAATCGAGGTGAACCGGGATTCGAACCCACAATCATAGGTTTCTGGCGTGCCCAAGGGACGCAACTCTGCACAGCGAATCGCAGCGCCTAAGACACCCGTGCACCCATCTACTGTGACAAGCGGTTTGATCAGAGTCATCAGTTGTAATGTGGTTCATTCTATCAGAAACATGAGACATTTTATTTTTATGATCACAGTAACATCTCACTTTAAATGTGCTATTATTTCAAAGAAAATTTAGAATAACTACCTCGTACTCGAAATAGCAAATCATATTTGAATGAATGTGTGATTATTGCTTTTTGATGCATTAGCATTTTCTTTTACGTTTTATGTCTTTTACTTGAACAATGAGTGATGAACGATCATTCGTTTATGAAACAGTAACGCAATAATAATAATAATAATAATAATAATAATCTGCAGGTATGCAGGTACTAGTATCTGCTCAAATGCGGTTATATTTGTTCCACGACCAGCAGATCTGTTTGCATTCTAGTTCCCAACTCCCTTGGGAGTATACAACCCAAGCTGCCTACGGGCGCTAGAGGGTTTCTACATCCACCTGACATATCCACCTGATACCCATTCCCTGCTGGGTGAACAGAGGCACATTTGAACTGTGTCACACCACAAGTTTTGACACTGGTGTTTCGGGTGTATATACGTATTCGTGTCATCTACCATCGGACGAATGGGTCCTTTGAGTGAACAGGGTGTATGTACTGTACACTAGGAGTAGTGACAACAATGTAAAGACCCGTAAACATTGTTAGTCCCAAGGCTGAATAATACCATTACCAAACATCTTCTTGAAGGTTCCTCTTACCTGACCGTGGCATGCAATGGCGCTAATCCACCCTCAACACCTGCCCCCCCGAGTACCACCACCGACGTCACATCAGGAACAACACAGCCTGGAGGTACGTACCTGTTTACTACTGTTAGTGGAGCGGATTATTGACAAAAGTGTGCACTTTGTGTTAAAAGCATGAACAGTATAAAATAGCGGCCATATTAGAAATGGCAGCCATCTTGAAAATGGCAGCCATCTTGAAAATGGCGACCATTTTGCTTGGCCCTATAGCCAAATTAATCACCATGGTTAAAGCTTTGTTTGTACCAAGTCTCATGCTTTTCACTCAAAGTGCTCAGTTCGACCCTTTTTTCACACTTAGCCGCTCCTCTATGTCCAAGATAATAGCTTTGCATTCAAAATTTACAATCCAGAGTCCCTGAAGTGATTTGCCATGGTTTTCAAGACAACAAACATCCACATGTTTATAAGCCCATATTGCATCTTGCTTGAAAACAGTGTTGAATGTACACGTTGAGACGTTGCCTCAATTGCAATAAAGGAGCCGTTTATTCAGGAACCTGCCCCTGTTCATCGCACCAACTTACAACGTCCACAAAGATTACGTTAGTCTAAAACGATAGGAATTGACGGAGTTGGAGTATAACAAGGCACATTGTGCTTAGCAACCGATTTATTATTCATGGGTGGGGGTTGTGCTGGGATTTTGTCTGGAGACTACAGCTGATAAACCATATATTGTTTTTATTAAAACCATGAGCATAAATATATTTGTTTAAAAATAAACCCATCTTAATTTCTCGCAGCAATGTATTATTCTAGGCTGTCAATTTCGTTTTTAAGCATTATTCTTTTTTCAAGCATTTCCTGGGACAATATATAGTTTTCAGTAAAATTCCAGGCACCCCCAGAATATTTAATGGCCAGCCCCTGATCTTGATCCCGATTGCTTGCATGAATGTTTTCAATTATTTTCATTAGTTTTACTTTCAACATGTTCGTATCCCCAGGCCTCAAAATTGCTACGAAAACGGTCGCCAATGCGACCTAATATTCAGTTTGTCTACTCTCTAAAATTCAGACGTAGCCAACTGACTATCTTGAAAATATCTTATGGCGACTAAATTCTATTGCTACACATATGAAGATACAAAAATGATTATAAGCTGATCTTGGAACACGTCTGCTGATAATTGTACTCGCAAAGAATTCCTCCTAAAGTCGACAATGAACCAAAATACTAAATATTAATGTAGTTAGTACAAACCTATATCATCTAGTAACATAAATTGCATCATGGTCACAAATAAAAAAAATCAAGTACAGTTTCCACTAATACATGTAATCAATTTCAAGATTAGTGTTATGACTTGTACATAAATTATTAATATAATAGTTATTTGATTAAAGATAGTTTCAAATGCTTTTGGCTACCTACAATATTGGCTTAACCTCTTAATTTTACCACTGACTACCTGGAAAAAATGCTTGTAGACAAGTGGCTACTTGATAAAAATGTAAACTTTGAGGCCTGATCCTTTGTCAAACCGAAACCCCATTTATTTGAACAAGTTATTCCAACACCAAAGTATATCTCTCTGTTTCTCCAGGAATCCCCATGGTGACAGTGGCAAGTGTCTGCAGTGCTCTTTTCGCCGCCATGATCTTCACCGCCGTCTAACATAACCAACATGCTTACAAGAAACCAACTAGGATTAGTTAGCACCTGCAGACCACCTCCTCGAAGTGCACGCTGCCGAGGCTGAAGGGTAGATACCCAAAAGGGTACAAGGTGGTCTTCTTGATGTTGTCCAATAGTGAATTATAAGCTCTGTTGTAATTATCTATCCTGAGTCAACTACAACAAATGACCCTATGGGGTGAACTATCCATTGTCATCACTTTCAAATATTTGCTCGGGTACAATTTAGAGTTTATACTGCTGATTGGTCATGAAATCGGTATGAAATCCCACCACAATTTTGTTGAGAACAAAACCATATGATCATTCTTTTACTCGGGATGTGTAATCCATAATTTCTCGAAGCTCACACGCTGCACTGTATAATTCAGAAACCTGATTAAACCGCTCATGTAATCGGCCTGCTCCAGAGCATTGTCACAGTCTAGCTGTATGAAGCTACATTTATCGCCATAATCAAGTACCCAGTAAGACGTAGTGTGTTTCTAAGAAGATCGTAAACATTCTTGCAGTTAAAGGCGAGTATGCTTGTCGTAAGAGGAAACTAACGGGTGGTCAGGCTGCGCATGACGAGACCCGTGTAGAACCCATGCCTGCTGTAAAAGGCGACTAAGCTTATCGTAAGAGGCGACTAACGGGATCGGGTGGTCAGGCTCGCTGACTAGGTTGATGCACGTAATCGTATCCCAATTACGTGAATCGATGCTCATGATGTCAATCACTGGGTTGTCTGGTCCAGACTCGATTATTTACAGACCGCCGCATATAGCCTACCAGCTCGTTTGATCGGTTGCGACAACTTGCATCTTGAAGCGTTACGTATTACTGTACAGGTTTTGAAAACTATGTAGCATTTACTGGCTTAGAAATGTTAAATATCAAGTTAAATTTAATAAAAAACTTGGAAGAGAAATTAGTAATTTTGACACTCTTTTACAATGATTGGAAAAGTATTACATAGTTTCTGTTGAGATTCGGTAAAGATTCATTGAATTGTATTTGGACCATGATTAGTTGTCAGGAATGTAGCACTATTTAATGTAAGCAGTGTTGTGGAAGTTATTATATTTTAATGTTCAAATTATTTTAATCGTTATTATTAATGTCAAGCGTTATAGAAACATGTGGAATATTCTGTGAGATTCTAGTGACACTGGACAGGTCTAGCACTGTGTAGAAAGTTCTGGAAGCTGGTTAGACTATTCATGTGGAGCGTCCCTGTCTCATCTCACACATTTCCTCTCGCATTACATTTCATATTTTGTTTGAAGATCACTCATCACCCTGCCTAGGCCAGACTTTTGCTATCACCACTGTTTTTTTTATTTGATACTGACCACTGTCATCATATTATGTATTGCCACTCTATTGACAACAATTTGCGATCTTCTCCGAAAATAGACAACTATTCAGAGAGGATGTACCCGAGTCAATACACTTGAATAACGTCATTTTCCTGTTTTGAACGACCCATAATATTTTATCAAAGGACAGTTGTTGTCAATTATGTACACTTCGAATTAACGGAACCTTTTTGTGTCTATAAAATATATTCAAAACAAGTAACGAAACTATTTTTCAAATGGATGATTTTAAATTTTGTCAGAAAACGTGACGCCAGTGAGTCCAGCAATTTGAGGACGTGTATTGGTCAACATTGGTTTCGGCGACAGATAGAACTTTGTGAAAATAACTTTTTAATATTTTCAGGTATTTGTATAATCATTAAAGCTCAGTAAATAGTATATACAATATTGTGTTGTGATATAATGCTTATGATATGTATAGTCGGAATGTACCCTGATTTAAGGAGAAATTTCTCCTCACAGTGTGCTGTACAATTCTTATTCAAGTTCTCCTTAACCTTGATTACTTAACAATAGGTTCGTTAGTTATTAACATATTTCTTATAGTTTGCTTTTGTCGCCAAACAGCCGTTAATATCAATATCTTTATGGTAATTGTTTATATGTTGTGATGTTTTCATATAACACATCCGCCTGCAGGATAGTGTTTTTTTTATGATGGTGTCAACAACCAGCAACACTAGGGCAACTGTAAAACAGGCTGGACCTGCACAAACCTACCTTAGCCATACATCTGTTGTAACTCTATGTTAAAACACATGACTTACTTCTTTACGATCGTTTCATTCAGCGGGGTCCAGGATGTGAGGGAAAATGAGAATTGCATGCACGTTTCTTTACTTTTGTGCTGTAATTACTGGATAATCTATCAACGCTTTGCAAGACATATCCGTGTAGAGACCTACTATACCTTAAGGAACATCCATTTGATTTGCATCGGGGTTGGATCGAGGGAATCATGTTGTTGAAAACATCTATTTCCCCAGCTTTAGCCAACTAACTATTTACAATCTATTCATTTTGACTATTAACACAAACAGTTTTGACGTTTTGGTTTTATCCACAAAACAAATGATTCGTTTTCACCACTGCCAATAAGTTATTCATTTTGGGCATTTCAACCGGTGCCATAACGTTTGTCATTGCGCGATATTTCTTGCTTCCTTAGGTAATCATCAGTTACAGATGCTCGTCGCATGTTGTTTGAATACGATTGTCAATATTGCCTTTAGCTCCCTGTGCAATAAATAAATATGTATTTTCCATAATATTGTTATCGTTTTGAATTTATGAATTTGAACATTAAGGTCCATTTGAAAGAATAATACCGAACTAATATTTATCTTAATAATGAACTGTGATCCTTCACACATTTTGACCATGATGGAAATCGACTCAGGGTCAAGACGAGCTAACACTGTAACCACTAGGCTACCCAGTTAACATTGTATTCATGTGGGGAACTGAACGATCGAAGCGCTATGGTGATCGACCGCCTCCGTGGTCTTGTGGTAGAGCGTCCGCCCGGAGGGCGGAAGGTCCAGGGTTCGATCCCGGGCCGCGTCATACAAAAAGACGTTAACAGATTGTACTTGTTGTTACCCTGTCGGGCGCTCGGCATTAAGGGGCTAAAACAAGGACTGGTCGGCTCGGAGTCAGTATACTGTGTCTGAGTGGGGTATTCATGTTAAACTGCGGCATGGTATCTCAGTGAGCTAGCACTATAAATCGGCATCAGTCCGGACTAGTACAAGCAGCCACACACACACATACAAGTATAAGTCCAATAATCTTGGACGCGACGTTAAACCCAATTTCACCTCACCTCACCGCTATGGTGATCGTAACTGCCATACTTTAACATAAACCTACGACAGTCGTAGCGTTGAGGTGATCGTAACTGCCATACTTTAACATAAACCTACGACAGTCGTAGCGCTGAGGTGATGGCAACTGCCATACTTTAGCATAGACTTACGACAGTCGTGGCGTTACGATCGCTTAATAGTGCAGCCTGGTTTCCTGGGTATGCTGCGCTGGAGCTACTCAGTGTAGCGCCAGCGCAGCATACCCAGAGGACCAGGTTTATTATAGTGAAGAACCGGGCGCCAGAATGATGGTTGACAGACAAAACTCGGAATTACCGATCATCTAATTCTCGTGAATCAATGTTGCAAGTGGCATGCATTCGCTTGGGACCCTAATCCGCAATTCTTCGTAGCCCCGGGGGCACGGGTGGCCCAGTCGTCTTAGGCGCCGCGATTCGCTGTCCAAAGTTGCGTCCCTTGGGCCCGCCAGAAACCTATGATTGTGAGTTCGAATCCTGCATCGCCCTAATTATGTTTCTAGGTTTGTCAGCACCATACCCGTACTCGTGGGTTTCACCGAAATGGTAAACGTCTGAGACCTGCATCACTTCGGGCTTTCCTCCCACATTAAGCTGACACGCCGTGAAATAACTGGAATACTGTTAAAAGCGGCGTTAAACCCAACTCACTCACTCTTAGTAGCCCGTTGGTTACCCTCTAAGTGTCGGCGATTTTTTGGAAGAAACAGATAGTCAAAGAAAACCAATCAGTATTCCGGGTTTGAGTTGGTCCGGACACCCGATGTCCGTGGTCAAGATCAGGTGCTCAGGCTCAGTGACATGCTCATTATGTCAATCACTTGACTGTCTGGTCCAGACACGATTATTGTCAGGCTGGCGACAAGTAGCTGGAGTATTGCTGAGAGTGGTGTAAAAAACAAACAAACAAATACCACGTGACACGCCACTTGCCTGCAGAAAGGAACCTAGTGAAGCATTCATACAATATGAAAATATTCGCGTCGAGCTGAAACTAAGGGAGACAACTCCTTTAATATGTCGTATCTACAACCAGTGCTTTCGGGGTAATCACACAGCGAAAGAGCGGAGAATATGACGGGTGTATTTCTTTTCAAATTAAAACATTTAAACATTATTTGGAGAGAGGCGGAAAAATGATACAGATGTTTTTGGAAGGGATGAATACATGTTACAGAAAAATATGTCACAGTCTCAGTCCCCCTCCTCACTACTTTAATAAGAAATGACCAGTTCCTTAGTTCTAAAGGTACCCAAAGAGCTGCCTTAAAGATGACACAATACCTTCCACTTCTCTCATGTACACCACACGTATGTAATTCTCTATTTGGATGCCATTCATTAGCATCTGTAAATGACATCGGGGCATGTTGGTATTGAGCAAGATTAATACCAGCAAAGCCTTACTTTCCCCATGAGGGATGTTCACAACTACTTCTCAGACTGTCACTCTTCCCCAAATGCCCTGACATTCCTTAGGGGTAAATTCTAATTAAATTTGATCTGGATCCTAAAGAAAAAGGGGCGGTCGGGTAGACTAGTGGTTAAAGCGTTCGCTCGTCACGCCGAAGACCCGAGTTCGATTCCCGACATGGGTCCAATGTGTGAAGCCCATTTCTGGTGTCCCCCGCCGTGATATTGCTGGAATATTGCTAGAAGCGGCGTAAAATCAAACTGACTCACTAACCTAAAGAAACACCACATTCGTCCTCACTTGGACAGGCTTTGTTCTCTGTCATTTCTCTGATCCAGCCTCCTGGAGAAAATAGTTAAACGTGTAATTTCGTCACATGAAACAGAAACCTGGAAGGATAGATTGACATCTTGTATATCAAATATTCATCTAGTTGTCTCCCGGGTGGCCCAGTCGTCTAAGGCGCCGCGATTCGCTGTGCAGAGTTGCGTCCCTTGGGCACGCCAGAAACCTATGATTGTGGGTTCGAATCCCGGTTCGCCCCGATTATGTTTCTAGGTTTGTCAGCACCATACCCGTGCTCGTGGGTTTCATCGAAGTGGTAAACGTCTGAGACCTCCCACATTAAGCTGACACGCCGTGATATAAATGGAATACTGTTAAAAGCGGCGTTAAACCCAACTCACTCACTCACTCTAGTTGTCTCCCCTCAAAAGCCCGGGAAATCACAAAAGGAAACCCTTGTAGAAGCAGCTACATTTGTGTACAGGTTGTGTGGGCTCTAGAGACGTCGTACCTGTGATAAGTGTATCTGTCTCTAGCATGATCTCCTCACACACAGACACACACAGACACACAAACAGACAGACACACAGACAGATATACAGACTCACACAGACAGAGACACACACAGACTCAGACACAAACAGACACAGACGGACACAAAAACAGAGACACACACGGACATGGACACAGACAGGCACACAGACTCACACATACACACACAGACATACAGGCAGACACATAGACAGACACACGGACAGACACAGACATACACACAGAGACTCACACACACAGACACAGGCACACAGACTCAGACACAGACAAACACCGACACACAGACAGACACGCCCAGACACACAAACAGGCCCAGGCACATACATACACACAGAAACACACAGACATACACACCGATGCACAGACACAGCCACAGACACACAGAGAGACACAAAAACAGACACACACAGACTCAGACAAAGATACGAACACGGACAGACACAAACAGATACAGACACAGACATACATACACACACGGAGACACAGACACACACACCGAAACACATTTACATACATAGAGACACAGAGACACACATAGACACAGACATACATACACACAGACACACAGAGACTCAGGCACACACAGATACACAGAGACTCAGGCACACACAGACACACAACACACACACAGGCACATACATACACACACAAACACACACGCACATACACACAAACACACTATGACACACACAGACACGGGCACACAGACTTAGACACACACAGACACACAGACTCAGACACATACATACACACACACACACACACACACACACACACACACAGATCCCAGACACACACAGAAACACAGAGACATACACACAGACAATATCTTTCAGAATAGGTTCCTCACACACTATGCAGCAGCATAAGTCAACTAAACTGAAGATCGGCTGGTCACTATGCGTGACCTGTACAAATGTGTCTCGGTATCGGGGTCGTTCCCCATCCGTTTACAACTGGTTTGCCTTTAAACATTCACTTTATCTCAAAGAAACAAAAACAATCTACCATTTCCTTCTTCACAACATTTTTCGAAATATTATGTCAGTATATTTATCACAGCACTGTAACATAAATCCATGTTTAATATTTCCGTGTAAATTGCTGTTATTTACTGGTTCTTTCATACTGTTCAACAAATTACAATTATTGTATTTTTATCACCCGGTGAAACCAAACATCACATACCGCTGGGCAAAACAGCGGCTATTGTGACCGAATCGATAATTGTCCTCGTTGCTCGTCGGGACCTCGCATCGTCATTGAGAAAATCGCGAATTAAGCAGCTGTAGACTTAATGGTTATTTTGGAGTTGCAACAGTACAAAAATAACTCCCGGCGATTTGCGAAAAAAGCGTGAAGGCTCTAAATTGACAGCACACTGTTTTTAACAATCATTGTAATGTACGTATATTAGATCACTGTTGTAGGTAGATATTTTTGTTCCTTAATTTCATACACGTATTTTTAATCCTAGTCCGATATACATATTCTGAGCAAATGGTGCGACGTAAAAAAAGATAATGGTGAGTATATGTCTTGTTACCATGGAGACATGGTATCATCATTACATATATTACGTTTTTGGTCTATTTTACATCAGTAACTACAAGCATTGTGGATTATGTTAGTTCTCCTGTTGCCTCGTTAATGGAAGACAATGTGCAGATGGATGCGGTTAACTGGTATTCATCATATAATGGGTAGGCTTCTCGGCAGGATAAAGCCAACGGATAAAAAACATATCCGTTGGGGTCCGGATAGAGATGCAAATATCAAAGGTCAAGTAGGGACTACTTTCACTGTTTATAAACAAACATGGCGTCGCCCTCGTCGGGTCAGAATTAAGCATCGGGAATCGTGATTAACTAAAGGGATAATTGCTATCATTATCAAAAGAACTGTCTAATTTTCTGAAAATCAGTGTCTACGATAAACCAGTTGGATAAACTTGGTATCACGACCGATAAATATGCAAATGAGGTACCCGGGGAGGAACTACTTTTAATAAGCTCCATGCACCAATGCAATGTCAACTTGCACAATAAACTATTTGAATAAACCCAATGAATGGGATTTGTTTCTCGATGTGTGAATGTTTCTCTTCACAATCATGGCGTCAAATAATAAATTGGGCGGTTGTATTCATAAACGCTCAAATATATACGAAA